GTCTATGTACTATTTGTTTTCTATAAGATCCATGTACAATAGACAATTTACGTTAACTAAATATTATATTCTGTTGATTTTCTTATTAAAGTAAATTCAGAGGACGTGTTACCAGCATGTATTGTCTTCCTCTTACAAGTTGAACATTGTAAATTGTATGCTCATTAAATCAAATTTAGCTCCGTTAGTTAAGAATTTAGAGGAATTCACCTCTTATAAAATTTAAAAGAGTAAGATGATTATCTAGTCAATCTCGTAGCCTTTTTATTATATTTTAATTTGAATCCGAATTATGAGTATTTTAAAATTGTAAATTATTCATGCATCTTACTTAAAATACTCATAACTCAAATTAAAATTAAAACATGATAAAGATTCTTAAAGATTGACTAGGTAATAATCTTACCTTAAAAACGTATAAGAGGTGAATTCATTCTATATTCTAAACCTGCAGAGTTAAATATGATCTGTTGAGCGTAAAGTTTGTTATTTTATACATTTGAAAGATGAAGACAACACATGCGAGTATCACATAAAATACTTACATATTACAGAAATGATTGAAATATTGTTAAAAATATTAACATATAAATTATAAACCCAGATAATGCTAAAATTTGATAACAGGCCAATTCAGTTTAATATTAAAGCCAACATCATATTAAGATTAGTTCAACTAGACAAAAATTAGTCAAATGACACAAGAATAAGAGAGAAAGCAAATAGTGTCCTGACATCCTCGTAAACAATGTTATTCAAATATTATTTAATTAATTGTTATACATTTTTTGGTATTCATAAAATTAGTTAATTTCATTGTGTATAATTAATACATAATAGTCCAAAAAAAATTTTAAATATTTATAAATTAGATACATGTTACTGGTTTATCTTATACTCTCATATGACATGTAGAAATGCTATGTTTTTATCACAAAGGATTACTTATTTTAAACTTGGTAATTGGTATTTATTCCCTCTTGAACTTAAATATCATAGTGAATTTTCAATTACTAAACTAATATTGTTTTTTTGACTATTTTGATGCTATACTCTGTTAAATGCTAACTATAAAAGTTATCTCTTCCAAAACCATGTTAAAATAATCAACAATACATTTTGTTTGTATTTGCTAAGTCCTACATACAATTTACAGCACTTTTAACAATTTAAATCATAAAAGGTGTGGCTATTTAAAAATAAGATTTCTGTATTTAATTTAGTTGATTTTTATATTTTTATAATTCAATTATGATCTATTTATTCTACTTCTATATATTTTTGTAGTTGTACATAACTATTTTATGTCGATACTACTTATGGCTTTTATAATTTTTAAGCAATGCTTCAAATTAAAAAAAAAATGTTAAGGCTTTAAGTGGATCCACCGCTTTTGTTTTCATTTTTTGTACAAACTCAAAAGGATTTCTGTAATCTATGCTTTACTTTTGAGAATATATGAAATTCACAAGATGTTAAATTTGACGAATACGGAAGAAGAGACTTAGCACAGAAATGCAAACATTTTCTTTAATGTACTAGGATACCTACATTTTTGGCATCTTTCACTTCCTCCTATCACTCACTAAACCTTTTATATTACTCTGTATGTGACATGGTATCATTCATATATTCATTTCATTTATATCTTAATTTGTATTATTCAATCAGAATTATCAATTTAAACTAGAATTTGTTAATTTAACATTTGAAATTTAATCTTTGATAAGTCTAAAATATTATGCTATAATTTTCAACCATTATATATATTGTAAAATAATTACTATACCACAAACTATAACACAATTATTCGGATTCTTTTTAACCAGTAATCCCATTTTTTAAATTGCTACACCTGATTATTATGTGTTATGTAAATATTGCTTATTATTATATTTTTTTTTTATTTAGCTAATATATTATTTTTCAAMGAGGACTTAATGTCAAAATTATAACATGAAATTTATTTAGGTATAGAACATATAAATTTTTAATGGATTACAAAAATTAGGTTTTTTTTAAATATTTAAGATAAAACATATTTTTTTTACCTTTATTGCCGAGTTCTATCCAAAACTAATAGGAAAAACTACATTTAATTTATATATATATTTTATATTTATATTTCTTTATAAAACATATTTTTTTTAAACAAAATTGGAAAACATTTTTTACATTTTATATTTTGAAATATATATTTTTAAATGCATTTGTATCTGTTTACTTTTTAAGTATTTGAAATTAAATATAAAATTACTAATGTACATAAAGTTCTCAAAATGATATATATATATATCTATTTTTATGAATTAGATACATTATACAACATTTAAGTATTAAAATATATTTTATTAAATTGTTGTTTGGTATCTTAAAATATAGGATATTTTATAAATAATTAATAATTTTTAATTTACAGTCCTATGATGATTTGGTCCCTGCAGCTAGAAGTTTAGAACTTAGCGAATCATCTAGTGATTCTGGATCAAGTAGTTCATCAGATAGTGACAGTGATGACTCAACAACACCTCCTCCTCCTGTTTCTCAAAAAACTATAGAAAAACTCCCTACACCCATTTTTAATTCTCCAAACACTAATGGTATTTAAATTTATTTAATGTTTATATAAAATTTCTTATTTACACTTATCTCTTACTTTAGGCTTTAAAGGTCGTCTAGTTGATCCAGGGCGTATTTTAGATGAAGATCTTCAACTTTCCGAGACGGATTCAGACTGACTGCCATTTTGCGGCGATTTTATAAAATACCAAATATCCCAAATCGAAGCCGTTCAGTCGTGCGTCAACAATAAAAAAAATTCTTATAATTATGTATTTTTAAACCTACTTAAATATCTTTTGATTAAAAATATAAATAATTACAAAAATGTACTTTATTTTGAGTAAGGCAAACAAATCAACAAGAATAACTTGTATATATAAATTACAAAAAGTTTCATTTGGCTAACAGAGTAAGTTTACTAAGGAGTTTGCATACATTAAAGGTTTCACAGGTGGATGAGATACAGCAGTATATGTCGTAAACTTTGGCTTAAGACAGTGTCCCTCAAGTGTGATAAATGCTCCTTTATTACCCATTGTATCACAATAATTTGGAGCAGAAAACACAGTAATACACTTGGAATCATGTGCTTCTTCATAACCGTTAGCTTTGACCTCGTGGCTACGGATAATATAATCTAAGTTGTTGAGTTCAACAAATGTTTTGGTAACATCTGGTCCAAATTGTACTCCAACACCACGTTTACTTGGAGAACGTCCTGGAGCATCTTGAGGATCTGACCATAACATGTCACACATCAGGCCTTCTTCTGGTGGTTGCCTATTTCGGTAAATATTTTCAATATCCTTTAATGTAACATTATCTTTGGAAAACAATCCTCCGTGCATAACAAGAACACGTCTGTTGATGCAGTGGGCAAGTGGAAGCCAGTTGTAAACTTCCGTGAAAAGGTTAGCCATTTCAACTGAATATTTAGACTTAACCTCGCCTTCAAATCCATACATTCTATTCATAGTAACACTTTCATGGTTACCACGAGACATAAAGAATTTATCAGGAAAGAGAAGCTTGAATCCAAACAACGTGAAAATACATTCAACCGAAAATGATCCTCGGTCGACAAAGTCTCCATTAAATAAATAAGGATTTGTTTCTGACGGTAAACCGTTTAATTCAAATATGTTCAACAAATCGTAGTACTGGCCATGAATATCGCCACATACAGTAAATTTCTCATCAGGCTTAATATGTATGTGAACAAGAGTTGGTTGTTTTTCTAAATATTTTTTAACATCCAACAGTATCTTGTAAGCATGTTTTTTATGCAACTTACCCTGTTCTCGATAGGTCTTAATGAGTTCTTTCATGAACTCGAGTGTAACTTTACCGTCATCTAAGCACGGTCCGGTATAATCACTTTCGATATTCATTGATTCAATGTCTATTTGTTCGGAAACGCTTTTGGTATCTTCTACAGATATAGCTTTTTCAAAGGCCAACCGTTTGACCAATTTGTTGCATTCAGTGTATTTTCCCTTGGCATCCTTGTCGTTGGGCAACGCCTTCACAACCACCTCGTAGTCTTTCAGAGCTTCCTTAAACTTGCCGAGAGACATATATGCTGTTGCACGACGATAGTATCCCTTCAAGTATTTGGGATCGAGCTGTATAGCTTTGGTCGCATCGGCCAAGGCGTATCCGTATGCTTCGGTTTTGGAATGAGCAAAGCTACGGTTTGCATAGTATGCCGCGAAATTGTGAGGTTTCGTCGATGAACTTTCACACATCGCAATTGCTTTAGAATAGAAATCGATGGCATCTGCATAACGCTTGGCGGAGAAATGAACATTCGCTTCTTCTTTCATCCTCTCGGCATGGGTGATGTCCGCTTCGCGATAATCCAGCTTGCATTCGCCGTTCATTTCGGTAAATTTTATAAAACAAACAAAAAAAACTAAAAGGAACAGATTAATAATTCAAACACTCAAAATCGGGTTGAAAAAAATTTTTTAATTGAAATCTTATTTAATTATTAGTCGGGTACTTAAAATAGTGCAAAAAATTGGTAGTTTTAAGCAAGAGTAAAATTGTATTTTGTTTATTTATTAATAAAAAAAAAAAATTACAGTGCGTTCGTGATAAACACGTGATATATACTTATCAAAATTTCAATTTTGTATTGGATAAATTAATAATAACGAAATTATTTTTATCTCGTTGAGAATATGAATAATATTTGTTTAACGAAAACGACTTGATGTCTGATGCAAGCATTTACAATTTATTAGTTAATTACTTTGGGATATAATTTTAAGTAATATTTGAAACTGTTAACTTAGAATTAGGTTGGCAATTATCTAAATAACTTCACGATAAACGGTAAACCAATGGACGTAAAGGAAGTAGCAGCAGCCTGCTGCTGGCTGCTGCTGGTAATTTTATGCAGTTGTAGGCATGTGATAAATAAAAATTATATAACAAAATAAATAATTGTAAACATCTTGATTATTATAATAATATGTAATCTCTTATCTTTTAATTCCTTATCTGCTTTCTAATATTCTTGAATCAGTTGAATCTCGAAACCGGGATTGGAGAATAGTAGAATAATATAATTAATTTCATGTTTGAAGTATTTTAAAACTTTAATAATTGTATTAGTTTTACTTTTTTTCAATAAGTCTTATTATTTATTGATGACATAATTATTTCATTTATTTTTCCTTCAGTTCGAAACAGATTTGTCAATCATGAGTGAAATATTGAAAATGTTAAAAGAACAATCTAAAAGAAGGAAAAAGTTATTAGCCAAAACGGTAAACTATAGACGAAAAATGTATACTTGATGTACTTTTATTGAAACTGTTATTCACAGTTGGGATTTTCTGATGTTCATCAATTACGGCGAGCATTGAATATTCATAGGGAGGGAACTCCAACGAGTTCTGTTCGTAAAGTAGTAAATAAATATAATGCCCAACCAAAGAGTCCAGAACATACATACAATGATTCATCAACATTTCTCAAAGGTACACAATCATCTAATCCACACAATGATTATTGCCAACATTTTGTTGATACTGGTCAACGCCCACAAAATTTTATTAGAGATGTCGGCCTAACTGACAGATTTGAAGAATATCCTAAGCTAAGGGAATTAATTCGTCTAAAGGTATTAATATATGTACATATAGATAACTTTAACTTAAAAAAAACTAATAAGATGATTTAATAGAAATTTATTACATTTGTTATTTATGTCAGAAATTAATACTTATAGGTTTTCAAATAGCATGTACCACAGCCACATTATTCTCTATAGCGTAATCTTGAAATTAAACATTATTTTGTACATTTTCTAAAAAATAATTGTTGTGCATACTTTGAATTTTTAATAGGATGAACTTATACAACAAACTGCTACTCCTCCAATGTTCCTGAAATGTGAACTTAGCACGTATGATTTAAAATCATTAAATATTAAATTTGATGTCATACTTGTAGAGCCTCCACTTGAAGAATATCAACGAACCTTGGGTGTAACCAATACAAAATTATGGAATTGGAAACAGGTTTGTCTTCCTACCCACTAAGCCATTAATAATATAGGATTCTGACTAGAAAAGTATCTAATAAAAAATCAAATGTACTCTGTCCTCCCACGTCCTCCCCAAATCAAACCCTGTAAAGCTTCATTATTAAGTATATCTTATTTCGCTGCATATTAACATACTTTAACATAATAATTATTTGTTTTTTTAATTTAAATAGATAATGGACCTAGAGTTGGGTGAATTAGCTGCTAATCGTAGTTTTATTTTTCTCTGGTGTGGCTCATCTGATGGTTTAGATAAAGGCCGCGATTGTTTACGTCGATGGGGTTTTAGACGCTGTGAAGATATTTGTTGGATTCGAACAAATTCTAAAAATCCTGGACATTCAAAAAATCTAGAACCAAATGCTGTTTTTCAACGCACTAAGGTTGACTATTATGAAAATAATAATTATTCTTAAATGTTATTATAGATATTATAACTAATTTTATAAATTATAGGAACATTGCTTGATGGGTATCAAAGGAACAGTTCGTCGATCTACAGATGGTGACTATATTCACGCTAATATTGATATTGATTTGATTATTAGTGAAGAGAATGAACACGGTTCAATAGAAAAACCAGTTGAAATATTTCATATAATTGAACATTTTTGCCTAGGAAAAAGAAGGTATTTTATCCAATTAATAAATCTAAATCTAATTTGAAAATTATTGTGGTTTTAATTTTCTTGTAACTGTTAGTCATATTATTTACTTGTTATAATGTTGTTTATCCCTTAGATTACATTTGTTTGGTCGTGACAGTACTATACGTCCAGGATGGCTGACTTTAGGGCCTGAATTGACTAATTCTAATTTCAACACAGAAATGTATAATGGATATTTCAATAATGGCCAATTAACTACCGGTTGTACTGATCGTATTGAGGTCCTTAGACCCAAGTCTCCTCCACCTAAATGTAAAATACCTATAGGAATAAGAAAAGGCAATCCTTGTATGAATAGAGGTAGAGGAAGAATGTAATAGTTATTAATTTATTAATGTAAAATACTATTAATTAGATTGTTTTATTTATGTATTTGGCATTTGCATAATAGGTTTAATAATATATAATGTGATATCATCATATCTGTAATTTATGTAAGCTTGAACAATTCTGTTTATAACAATTTTTAAGTTAAGTGTTAATATAAATGTACTATTTTTCTATCTCCTGGGTCTTTGTATGTACTTAATCATAGCCAATGTCAATTTGGCATTTAAACTAATAAATAAATAAGATGAATCAAAGAATAAAAATTCTCGATACTATCAATAAAATTGGGGGAAATAGATCATTTTTATGTGAGACTAGTTTTTGGCAAATTCAATTTGTTACTAGTATTATTATAATTATCAAAAAATATTAGTTATTTTTGGCTGTTCAAAGATTTTACATATAAAATGTTTAACTAGTTTTTTTTTTTTATGTACTTGAAGTAAAATATTTATAAGTCAATGAGAATGCTTTATGATCGATAAACGATGATCACAACTCCTTTTTATATACATATCAAATTTTGACAAAATCACAAAACTCATTATTTTAAAATTCAAAATTCATAACATATTTAGTTGCAAAAGGCGTTAAACTGCATCAAAATAAGAGTTGAGTTGACTGTTCCCTACCCTTTGTATCCTTATCTCCTTTTCCCTTGATATTAAATCAGTTTTCAAAAAAATCAATTTTTTTTAGTAACTGTTCAGTCACAACGTTTAATGTGAAAACACATACATCGCAATTGTCTACTCTCCGTTATCTTCTGAAATAATCATTAGTCATATAGAGGATGTTAGTGAACTATTAATTTTCTTTCTATGGCCCACGCTCAACATAGACAAAACGCATTTACACAGAATCATTGTTTTTTGTTTTTAAGTAATCTTAGAGTAAAATCCCCCATTACAAAAATTACAAAAAGATAGAGAATAATTATTTTGAAGGAATGACATATCAATTTGTCTAAATACTATTCTGGATAATATTTAAAAACAGAAATAATAATCCTGCGTACATGTGTTTTGAATAATATGTTCAGTCTGAGTTAGAGAAAGAAAACAAACAGTTTGCTGTTATCTTCTTAATTAAACCGCAATCATATCAATTTTACTTCATAATACTGTCATCTGTATGAATAAACCTCAGAAAAACGATATCATGGCTTCGCAGCGCATGCCTAAATCTATGAAAAGAAACTTGTCCAACACATTATTTTCACCTAGTTTTAACAACTCAAACACAAAAGTTTTTTTTTTCTACAAATGTCAATATTTTTTTTATTTTGCTGAGTTAAAATGATTAAAAATGTAATATAAAGTTCTCATAATTTGTAATAATAGCAGTTGAGCATTATTAAAAATCCATATTCACAATTTTATTTTTATATACATTTTATGTTCAAATTAATTAAAATATTTTTAAAATTTTCTAATTATTTTGGGGTTAGAAAAACTGTAAAATGTACAATTTTTATAGCAAATGAATAAAAATTTAAAACAAGGATTCTCATAAATGGTTCATAATCTAAAATATATATACCTACACAGTAGTTTTTATTATACATACATTTTAAATTCAAATTGGGATGTAGTTACACATTACTGTTAKAATAATGGTTTTAGTTATTTTATTTTAATTTAAAAATATTTTTCGTTAGTGTAGTATTTTGTTTTGTGCAAATAATTACATTTTTAAATGTAATTTTCTTGGCAACATTTAATTTAATTGGCTGTAGAACCACAGAATATAACAAGAAGTACTATAATGCCTTATAGTTAAACTGTAATATCATAGAATATACTTATAGTTATATTATAAGTTGGTACACAATGATTTTATATCATTGAAATTTGAATTCAAATTTAACACATTCAACGTGACTATCTAGACACCTAATGTATAGCACAGCGTTACTCATTTAACCGCTATTAATACTGAATATAAAAAAAACTAATAATCTGGTTGTAAATCTTGTTTTCGTAAAACTATTGACCCTATATATAATATTCCGTGTTAATAACACATAAATATTAAATTTAAACATTTGAATACAACTATACACGTCAATGATAATCACATACCTACAAAAATATACTATTCAATATTTAAAAAATTGCAATGCACAACTGTAATCACGAACTTTGGTCGCGATAAACGAAATGTCCATGGTCCATAATTCCGGTCATAGCTTAATGTTGAGGCCAGAGCGTATGTTTGAAGGGGCGCCAAATTTTTTTTAAATTTGCCCTGGACGCCAAATCTTAACGGCACGGCTCTGGTTGAGGCCCTGTGCCCACTTTTTTTTTTTTAATCAGTAACGAGATATACTTGTAACACTTCGTGATATATTATAGGAGCATAGCAAATTTCCAGGTTTTTAAAATACAATTCTTATATAGGTAGGTACGTATGAGGTGTCTTACCTAAAATGCGTATTGCACAGCGTAATGCATAGACAATATAGGTACGTTACGGCATTGAATTATTCATACATTCCAATGGATTGTAGACGGTTTTTTTCCAAGGTACCTATATATAAATCACATAAAATATATATTTTTTTCTTCAAAAACACATATACTTCTTGAAATTCGTGGTACATGATACAGTTAATACCTGGTATTGCGACATGAATTAGTTATTAATAATAAATAGTATAAAAATCTTGCCATGGAAAAATGGATAAAACAAATTAAGTATTGTAGCATCGAATACTGATATTCGAATTATTTACGATAGAACTATTCGAATATACATTACATTACTAGTATGGAGAGGTAGTGATGGAAAGTATGATTGGAGACGTGACATGCTGCTTTAGTGATTTGTCTTAGGAGTTTTCGATTGATAGGTTTGTATTCTATTGACGTGAGGGTAAGTTTTGCTGATCCTTAGAGTTGTAAACCATAGACCCATATTGGTTTAAGAAACATTTTTTATATAAGGAGCTTGTTGTTCTGATGAATATGTTTAGAGGTCAGTCGTAGGTGTCGCAGCTGGCGACTGCGATAATTGAGCGTTAAACGTTTGGAGCGTATATTCTTCATATATCATATACCCATATGGCCATGTGAGCCGGCGATCTAGGGTCAGTCCAAGATATTTGACGTTTAGAGAGTAGGGTAGATGTAGATTATTGAGGAATAGTTGAGGACAGTCTCTGTGGCGTAGTGTAAAGGTAGAATGAAGCGTATTTCATTTGATTTAATCTCAGACCCCATTCTGTATACCACGAGGCTAGATCAAGACGGCTACTATTGTGTTTTGAGTAGTGGGTCGGTCCGTGGTGTAGATGTTAAAAAAGAGAGGTGAAATAACTGTACCTTGCTGGACAACGGCTTTTAAAAAGTTGTTGTTGTGGAGGAGCCATTGTTGAAAACTCGATCAAATCTCTGTTAAATGTCCCGGTAAACTATTTAAATTAGTATTGTTTAATTTTTAAAAGTCAGTGATTGTCTTAGATTTTTCAGAATTACAATTTATATTTTAATTACAACCTTAATTATATTTCTTCACTTATTTAATGTCAGAAATAATTGGAATTGGGATGAATTTACAGTCCACAGTTTGCAAGAACAACTATCACATCTCATTAATATGTCAAATTTTGATAATATTCTTTTTATCTGAAAGATTAGAATTTCTTGCAGGTTGGACTAAAGCTCGAGTTTTCATATCAAGTACTTTTAATTAAAAAAATATGTTTAAAAAAAACAACAAATATTGTTTGTACATTACTCAATTGCTTATTTAAGCTTATAAAGTTATAATGTTGAAATCAGGTTATGATCCAACCAACAAAATGTTCCCCTTTTAAATAAAAAAAATGAATGAATCCCAACTGTTCAACAGGACTATAGTCTGTAAGACATATTTTTTTTATTAAAAATGTGCCAGTTCTTACACTCTAAATATATATAATTAAGAAATTATTTTTTTTTCAAACATGAAAAACGTATTACTCAAAAAAGAAACATTCAATATAAAAACATGTAAACCATGGCATTATACATTTTACCTGGATGGCGAGTAAAAATTAATAAACATTTTTTCATGTTTAATATATTTAAATGTATTTGGCTAATTATGAGTCATAAAATATGACCCTAACTATAATTTGTCTTTGGACAAGCCCTGACAATGATATATTATATAACTATATAAGGTTCGAACACAGAAATCCTTTAAAATGATTGAGTTCAACTGAATCTTTATACTATGTGATACATAACTCTTGAATATTGATATCTAAAATAATCACCAGGACTCGAGACTTCTAGCACTAAAAAACCTTAAAATATGCGCTAAATATGCTTTAAAAAATGGTAAAATATGCACTATAATGTGCCCAATAAAAAAATTATATATGCTCTAAAAAACATTTAAAAAAAAATTATTTTCATTAATTCTAATAATATTTATTTTTAATCTAATTCTAAAAAATATTCCAATGTTCTTCTTTTTGTCGACCATTGTAAATGTATGATTTCTTCATTCTGTAAACATAATTGGTAAAATTCAACAAATCATTAAGTAAGTAGGTAAATATTATAAATTAGTTTCTACCTTGAAAATCGCACTGTATTATCAAGTGTTTGTGAATATTTTCAAATTTGAACGATCTTCTGTTATTGGTCAGAAATGTTTTGTACGTTGAAAATGTGCGTTCTACATCGACCGATGTGATAGTGGCAAACTTGAAGTATGGAACATCAATACTAGAAATATCATCTGGAAAACCATCTAATTCTTCAATGTCTCTTATACCCAATAAAATGCAAGACATTTTTTTCAAAAGTGATAGACCAGTATTTTTTTCTAAAACTTGTTTTAATTTTGACTATTTCCAATCCAATTGGACCTCGTAGAGTTTTAAACGATTTTTCTACACCGTTAATTATTTCAATATAGTCAGATAATAACAACCCCTGTGTTTGTAATCTTTTTAAAGATGTAGTAAGAGACAAAAAATTTGATTAGATGATTGGCGGCGTGTTATCGATAAACTTGGTAAAGCCGGGTTTACATTATAAAAGCGAACGGTTAAACAAAATTGTATTCGCCAAATAATTGGTGTCCGCACTGAAGTCATTATGTAACCGTGGCTTTATACGTTTTAACATTTTACTTTTGTAAAGTAGGAATTTAGCCGCTCACTAAGTATAAACCACAAAATTACTTCATTTTTTTCAAATTAACAAATAATATGCAAAAAAATAGCACGATACTTATAAAAATAGCAGAAAAAAATGCAAAAACCCTAAAATATGCAAAAATATGCACTAAAAACTTTTAAAGCTGCATTTGTTTTAGTATGAAACGGATTTGTAGCTTACTCTGCTATATTTCAACATATTATAAATAAATATGCAAATGCTAGAAGTCTCGAGCCCTGATAATCACTGTTGGTTTAATATTTAATTATACCATTTAACTAAGTATATAAGAAATCATAAAAATGAACAAGCCAAAGTTAGCTGTATTCATCAACAACAACAATAATAATTAATAGTTAAACAATACGTTTAATTCACAATCACTTTAATGAATACATAATATCATCTTATTTAATATTGAATTGGCATAACACCAATACAGTTATCTATACATAASACATACTATTTAATTAACATGAATTTTTAACATTGAAATATATTGAATAAATCCATGAAAGGATATTTTTAAAATCATGACATTGATATAAATATGATCAAAATAAAAAAATAAAAAACATAAGAATAATTAATTAATTTTTTCAACTTTTCACAACAGTTAATTTCTTACATCTAATGCTTAAAAAATATTATTGTTGAAATGATATAATTAAATTGATTTAAGATTTAAAGGGTGATTATTAAAATGTGAATATAATTTGAAAATGAGAGGGCCGACAACAATGTATAATTTTAGAACAATTTAATAATGCATGTATTAACAATTAAATTGAAAGATAATATCTAAAATTGAACTATAACCAATTTTAATATAAGAAAAAAATTAGCTGGTATTTGAAAATACTTATCAAGATATGGAACGATAAATAAAAATATATAGAACACGTATATTATGTTATTAATATTGATTTAAATATATTGTTAATTAAAACATAATTTAATGATTATGATCTAAGAAAACCCTAATTTCTAGTGTTAATGAAAAAAATATGTAAGTTTTGTTTGTCAGTTTGTAGAGACAATAAACAAAAAAAGCTAATTATATTCAAAAAGAAACGTAAAAATTGTGAAAATAATAATCAATCACACACAAAAACACAAAAAATTATTATGAAATTTTACTTCTGAGAGCAAAGCATGGAAATTTTTGATGGTAATAAGTTATTTTAATAGCAGATTAATCTATGTCAATCTGCATAATATCTGCCTATTTGTAGTGTCAATAACACTTTCAATGTTCATTTTTCTTTGTATTAGTCACATATTATAATGGATTAAAGTAGTCATAATATTATATAATTGTCCAGGATGAGATACATCTCCATAAAGATATTTATGTATTAAAATATATAAGATATATAATTTAACATAAATAAATTTTTATTATATTTGGCGGCCCTTATTTTTATAATTGCTTGATATTAAATAGGCATAAAATGCTTATAAATTCAATTAAAAATCATGTAAGTATTACGAAATTATTAAAGTATCTGGGATAACAAATTACAAAAATATGATTAAAAACAATCACCGCGACAATAATACTTTTGGACAGCAGTCAAAGGATAACGATTCATATTATTTATTTTTTTTATCTGATTTAAAAATATAATAACGTTAATATCTAATTATTATCACCATGGCTGCACAAACAATTACCAGACAGTGATATGTTTGTAGCAACACTTTAAATATCAGTCTTTCGATGTTCACAAATTGGATAGCGTAATATAATCCGTGGGCGCCTTCAGATAACAAAATGTTTCGCAAATAATTTACAAAAATAAAGAATAAAAACTACATAAAAACAATACGTAAAAATTAATAATAATGACTAATATTTTGCGCCATTCTTCACATCTTTCAACATCTTTCTAATTTGCCAATATTTACAAAGTAAAAAAAAAACTTGAGTTGATACTTCTTATAAGTTAGATGTTTATACTTATAAGGCGTCGGCGTATTTTAAAAATCTCTAAATATTTATTTATAGTAAGAATGTGGTAGAAAATATACTTTTTATTTTTTAACATTAATTAATTACTTACGCTTTATTAAATCAGTTTTCAGCCTCCAATTTGGACGGCTTTTGAATGATTTTTGATGAAGTGTCTCCAGGTTGAGAATTTAACACACCATTTTCTAAAAACAAATACATGCTAATGTACTTACATTTAGCATAAAAACATAAAATAATCTTTACAACAGTCTATTCAAAAGAAGTATGACCACTTGATAGACAAAAACTGGTAACCACAGCTCATCCTCTCTCAAGAACAGCAACCAATTATAAGGCTCTAGCACCAATCTTGGAGGTCCAAATATTCCAAAAGATCAGTATGCCGTGAGAAAGGTGGTCATACTTATTTGGAATTAATTATATAACAACATAATTAGTGTTTTCTAAATTTAGCAAAATAGATTTAAAATTTAGCAGTTAAATTTATTAATTATCTTAAGATTATATAAATGTTAATGTAACATTACAAACAAAACTTGCAATTTGTTGTCAATTGCAGTTTCTCAGTGGGGGTAACTAAAAATTAAATAATTATTCAGAGGGTCGCAATAACAAAAATGTTGAGAAACTGAGGTCTAATATATTATAAAACATATTATCTTTTATATTGAATAAGGCAAATATTTATTAAGTTTTAACTTAGTTTTGCCTGATACCTAATACGATAAAGAAACACGTCAAAACCAAATTAATAAGGGTAATAAAAACGTTATTAATGTTAATACATTAATTAATTAATTGTAGTACTTTTATACAAACAAAATACCATTTAGCAGATTTATAATTCAGTTACTTATATTTACATGCCATCATCAAACCTCTTAAACAGTTCAGGTCGATTTTAGACTGAATGCCCAAAAGCCTTAATTAATGTTACGAAAATAATTATTAATTACATATAGGAAAATATAGAAATAACATTTAATATCCTCAGGGATCTATAAACTATAAAAATTTAAATCTATTTGACTTAGGAAAAGATGAATAATATCATGTATTTAATATTTTTACACGAGTAACAACCCACCTTTTGGTGTTGCATCTTCTATTTGTCCTTCAATTGATGAATTTCCATTTACCAAAGGCAAAATGCTGTCTACAATCCTGAAAAAAATAATGTTTAATTAACTTAAAACCACTAAAAATAAAATAAAATGAAATACCCATTTGCTTTAATATTTTGATTTTCTTTATTTAATATTGATAATTTGGATTCTTCTGTTAGTTCTGAAGCTGAAATAGTATCACTAAAAAAAATAATTTAAAACTGAAATCTTCCAAAAAATATATGACTTTCTATTACCACACAATAAAAACTTGTGTGTATTTAAATGTTGTTCTAGATACTTTTTAACATAATAAACAAAAAATTATAAATTACATTTTAAAATTATTTTTAAAAGTTAATTTATGTTTAGAATAAATAGAATAATTTACCCTGAATTAGGAATAACCACGGCCACACCGCGACCCTTTGAAGGAACCTTTTTAATATTATTGTCTTTTTTTACAATATTATGAGTATTTTTTTTTTTATTATTCTGAAAAACAAAAATTGTGAAAATGTTATGAGAACACATTTTTAAGTAGATAATCTAAAAATGAATATTACATGTATTTTTAGAACTTGACTACGGCCTCGAACAGGTTTGGAACAATTACGTGCATTAAACACAGGTCTTGGTATGAGATCATGTTGATATAAAGAACTTGGTCCACCGATAGGGGGTGGCATCACCTAAAAATAATTAATTCATAATTAAATTGTTTGTTATTTTCAAACACTAATCCTTACTTGTTGAGCTGGAAGTATATTACCACGACCCATGTATGGACTTCCAGTAGCTGCCATACTATAATTTGCACCCCATATACCAACAACAGCACCAGCAACTTCTAATTGTCCACCAGACGACTGTTTCATAATACCTCTTTGTCGACTATTTTGTTGAATATCTCGAAAACGATTGGGATTTTGATGAACTAATCGACCTAGCCTTTGTTGTGGAAATGAAACATTAGCATGAGCTATGTTAGTGCTCATAATTTGAGGTGGAATTAATCCTCTTTGATTGAAGATTGTATCTATATGTGTATTTTAAGTGAAAATCTATTTTTATTTAAAAACAAAATTTTATACTATTATTTATTACCCAAAAATGTTCCTTGGAATGGTGAAATTGTTTGAAAACGTTCACCCAGCCCCTCTAAAATGGCCTGCCTCATTTTTTCAACTTTAATTGTAAGTGAAAAATGATTTTCACACAAGTCTTCTAATTTATTTGCTATTGATGCTCTAGCTAAATGATACTGAAATAACCTTCCATCAAAATACATCCATGGACATGTCATCAACCATGGTAAAGGTGCACCACAAGCATCATTTGCCAACATAGCTGTTTCAATACCACACATTAAAAGTGTAGCTAATTGCACACCTCTCACACTAACAGTACCCTAAAAATATTAAAATAATTATTAATTAGTAAGCAAAATAAATATACCATTACTTGAATTTTTTAAACATTTAGTACAATATTTTCTTGTAAGTTTGTGAATCACAATTTAGAAGCAAATGACAACAAAAATTGACATTTAATAAATATAAAAACATTATAATAATGTTCACCTATTAATTAATAATTTTTGATGAAAATTTAGAAATTTTAATATGCATTTCCAATAAAATTAAGATTTAAGAGCATATAATTTGAATGGATGTTGTGTTGTTTTCATAAATAAAATATATTTTAGATTCTGAGCAGAGCGATAAATGAATTGATTAACGATTGTGTATATGTATATAATTTATGAAAGAAAAGTGCATGGATTTTTAACGTTGGAGTATGAAAAAGAAAAAGAAAATTCTCAGTAGTTTTAAAAATAAAGGAGGACAAAATTAAAGAAAACCAGACATTATTATGTTTTGTTATTGGTTTAACTCAAAACCGAATAACCATAGACAATATTCAAAATATCTCAACACTTTTATAGACATTTACATTTTTTATTTCCCTAAACATCAATAAAAAATTCAACGCTTGGTAAAAAAATCAAAAATTTAATATAAGGTTACTTAAAAATAATAATAAATTAATTAAGCATAAATCCTAATTTATAAATATTAATAATTTCTATCATTTTGAGTTTTTTTTTTTAAACTTCTATAAAAAAATATAAACACTAAGTTTTTTTACTGTTATTTTAAGTTAAAATTTGAAAAAAAAATTAGTTATTTACATTTATAATGATTTTAGTTAGTTTAGAATTTATGCACGTAGGAATTATTGGTATTCATATAAACAATATTCGAATGTCTCACAAAATAATTTCAAGATATTACACAGTATTAATGTAGAATACGATATAATATCATTGTATACGAAAAATAATTTTAAGCAGAGACAGTTTGTCAGTTTAGGACACTGGTTCTCAACGAGGACGATATCGCCCTCAGTGGGCGGTGAATAGTCACTGGAGGGCATTGAACAAGTTTTGGACGAAAGGGACGCAGTGAACTAGTTATGAGTGGTAGAAGTGTGGCAAGCGTGTTCATGAAAAAGCGTTGTACATGATTTTATAGTGTTATAAATAAACTAAAAAATGTATTTATTATTAAAAAATAAAATTGATAAATTATTAAGTTTTTTTTAAATGTTTAATTTGATTAATTTACCAGTTACTAGTACTATAATTAAAAAAATATGAAAAATAAAACATTAATGAAAACATTAATTATTAGATAATTATTATTTTTTTTTCTAATTTGCCAAATCATTAACTTCCTTACTATCACTCGGCCCATACCAATCATACCATAATTACAGAATTTTCACATAGAGGAGCGTTAAAGAATTGATTCCTACTCAAGGGGGCGGTAACATAAAAAAATTTTGAGGATTGCTGGCCTATGATATTTAATACTTTATTAATTATATTGTTATTATTTCAAAAATAAATGTAGGTACCTATAAAATAAAAATGTATCAAATCAGATTCATAATATTATACTCAACTCACTCAGACATTCATAGTATTAACTTAAATAAATTATAAAAAAGAACTATTTGTATAGATTTTATATTTTGTTGTTGTAGAATTGATTTCTTACTTGTACCGGGTTTTCAATTTTTTATCCTTAACTATAAAAATTAAACTTTTATACATTTTCAACAACTTATTATTAAATAATTTGTTAATATTTAATTTAATAAATTTTGTCAACATTTGAACTTTAAACGATGATATAAAAAAAAGAAGTTKTGCCAATGTATTTTTAATATCTTTCAACTTCTTATAAATCAACTCATGGGGAACCTTGTATAAATTTCAAGCTTAACCAACACAATTTTATTCCATTTATAGAACAAAAAACAAAAAATTGAAAATTTCAAAAGGTTCATACACAATATAAGAAATTTATAGTTATTCATTTTTGAAAAACAACAAAGTTAGAATATTGGTACAAGAGAAATTGAGTGTAAATCCAATGTTGTAATTCAAATGCTCATAAAAATTTAATTTGACTTTTGCTACTTTTTTACTTGATAAAAGTAGACACACTAATGATGAATCTAAGAATCTTGTATTGAATTTTCAAATCTTAGATTTAAAAATATAAATTTTTATGAATTTCTAATTTAAAAAAAATTGCGGATTTTCGTGAATATTAGGTAATTATAAGATGTTTTAATTACCATTGTAACAATACATCAAGATCCTTGTATTAAATTTTGAAGCTCTTTTATCAAGAGAATACAATTTTATTGACATCTTTTATAGAAAAAAAAAAATTAAAAAAATGAAATTAAATAACTTAAAAATATTTGAAATCATAGCAAGTATAGAAAATGTCAACATAAACATTCAGTGAAAATGTTATGTACCATCCTATTGTACATTAGTTCAAGAATTACACTTATATTCAAAATCAATTTTCTCAAAAACTGATTATGTGTAAAAATTACCATTTTTCCTTTTTCCAATTTATTTTTTGTTTATGCTTTTGAAAACTACTGGGAATTTCAAATTTTGACCACCTCAATGCATCAACTAAATTCACTCCCTAATCGGAAAATGCCCAACATGCTACTGAAGTTGAAAATCTAAGAATAATTTTGTCAAGTTATCATTTACACAGACACAAAAAAAGTAATAATAAAATAAATAAAAAATATGCATAATTGTAAAATCAACACATTCATCGTTTCACATGGAATCTCTTTAAATACTTATACTAATTATTTTTTGTAAGCAACAATTTAATAACAAATTAAAATTTAACACATCCATCAGTGTTCTACTCAACGACAAGGTACACTAAACACCTACTTTCCATCTTTTTTTTATATACAATTCTTAGTTAACTTACTTGTAACTCTTGGGTGTTTTCATTCTTTGATAATTCAGGTGCAATGGCTGTTATGATCAATGAATCTAGTTCAAATTTTTGAAGAATAGGCACTTCTGTAAAGGTCATAATATATCTAAGAACACATGCAATGATTAATGTATGCTGAGGAACGTAGTCCGTGTTGTACATAAGAGGAGTGTCTGAACGCATACAAGTAAGAAATGCTCTCAAACGTCTTATGTTATCTTCAGGAGTTGTTCTAAAAATGTTTATTTAATTAAATGTAAAAATTTAGTTTTTTAATTTAAGAAACGGTTTTACAATTATCATCTTACCCAAACCAAAGTCTATGTACAGTAGGAACACCCCATCCTAAAGGTTCAGCTTTTATTAAATGGTAATGTTTATACGTGTTTGTTTTGTCTCTAATCCATTCTCGTACTTGAATTACTGGCAACTCAACTAAAATAAATTCAATTCCTAATTACAATACATGATATGAAATATAAGTGCAAATAATTTTTAAGATATTTTAGAACCTTCAACAATAACTTTTTTCATCCAACTTTTATTAAGGAATTTTAAGATTAATATAAGATATAAATATTGTTAAAATGTACAAACTATGAAAAATGAAGTTAAAATAAAATATATTTTAGTCTTATACACACTTATGATTAGATTGTATTATTTATGTTTTATTCTGTTTTCATTAATTTTAATTAAAATTAATTAATACCCAGCTTGTAAAATGCTTAATAGCAATACAAAGTTTTAAGATTGTTGAAATTCTATCGATATTTGAAAAAATATTGACAAACATTTTTAATATTAATTAATAAAAAAAAAATATTAAGTAAGTACCTATTTATAAATATTTTTCATAAACCAAATATCTAATAATATACCTTTTTGACTGCTATTTGATTTTGCTAAATAATGGGCATGATGAAGATTAAACAAAATACCATATACCATTTGACGAGCTTGTCTATAAAATAAATGTATGTTTGGAATTTCGTGATTTGTTTCATCTTCCAACACAACAGGTAGTTTTATTTCTGCCTAAATAAATAAATACAACAGAAAATAACAATTATAGTAGTTAAAATAAAATTCAAAATAGTTTAAATAATAACCTTAGTTAAAATATGGTATAAATAAGTGGACATAAGACCAGATGTATGTCTTTCATATGCTATATTCACTACATCAATAGAGACTTCAGGAATATGAAATTCAACAGATTTATTTTGAGACAACTGGTTTAATGAAGATGTTTGAGTATTTACATTATATGCACTTGAACCCGATTCAGAATTATCTTTTAATAATAATTTTCCCTTAAACAAATATATGATGTACACATTTGATTATTTCAGTACTTAAAATAACAAACTATGTTAAGAGGATACACCCATGTGTTTTCTCCTTTTCACAAATGAACAGCATAGCAAAGGATCGATGACAATTTAATGCGGTCATTTTAGCGCACGAAAATTCAGCGGTGATATTTCAGCGCAAGACAAATCAGCGTAAGACAAATCAACGTATACAACATTTCAGCGCAAGACAAGTCAGCGCATCATGTTTATTAAAATATACCAAATTAATKAAACATATAATAAAATACCAAATTAAAATCATATTAAAAATATCATTAAATATTGCTAAACGTTAAATACCTACATATTACATTATTTTAAAAATCACTTATTTAAATTAAAATTATGTTTAAAATTTAAAAAAAAAATACAAACATTTATAAAAAAAACATCGTATTATAATCATTTATTTAAATTCAAATTGTGGGCTATCCCTTGTAAGTACTCATTGAGTGGTCGATTTTCAAAATCTTCGCATACGTGTAATATTTTTTTGCTGTATCTTTATTGTATTATTTTGTTGAGTTAAAATGTCACACGCTAAAAAGTCGTATTCGCTAATTTGACGCGCGCCAAGGTGTTGTATGCGCTTAATTGTCATGCGCTATAATTTCCACGCCCAACTAACATGCGCTGAAATTATCACGCGCAATTGACGGTACACCATAGCAAAAGCCCTATATATTTATATTAGATTTACAAAAATTCCACAACACGTAGGAAAGAACTTTATCGGTGTCATAGTTTTTTAATATTTGATTAGCATATAATACAGCACATATAAAGTTCTTCCCTATGAGTTGTGGAATTATGGTAATCCTACTATAAATATAGAGGGAGAATAGTTGCACAACTCAAAACAGTTTTACTATGTTGAACATTTGTTAGACAGAAATAAGACATATGGATGTAGTCTTCATAATATAAACATAAAGAAATAAATAGTACATACATACAATTTTTGTACATTAAAAAAGAAATTACCTGCAAATTAAGGATTTCAGATCCCAATTGTTTAACATCATTTACTCCAGCAGCTGGTGATTCTAATAAATCATTTTTACTTTTTATGTTATTTTTATTCTTTTCCGGGCTTTTAATTTTATTTTTGATAGCGTTATCTCTAGCACCATCTAAGTAATATTGTATACTTTTTTTTAATTTTGGCACTCGTTTATCATCTTTATGTCCCAGTATATGAGCGGCTATTTCATCCAAATTGTTTTTAATAGGAGGTAAACTTTGAAGTGAATCAACTATTTTTTTGACAACTTCCTCACCTGAAACCTAAATAAAACAGAATTTATAGAAAATAAAAAAAAAATTTATTTATATAACTACCTTGGAAATTATTTGATTTATGCCACAACGTTTATAATAATCATAAAGCTCAGGTTGAGGCAACATAAAATTGCCTAAGAGTGAGAGAAGAGCACATAATTTGTCTTTGCTCAATTTCAAATCTTCTATTAACTGAGGGACAATATATTCTTTGGCTTCTAATGTTTGTCGCATTGTAAGTTTAAGTGAATGAGCTGAGAAAAACCTTGGTGGATCAAATGCTAAGTATTCGGCATCATCAGCCATCAAACCGTGGAATTTATTTTGTCTGCAATACTTAATGAATTCTAAATGGTGGTCTTTTACAGAGCAAACAACTGGAATTTTCAAATGGTGAAAATAAAGCTTAACAGCTGTTCGTAGACCAACAGGCGGTATCCACCATACCTTTGGTGKTGGTGTTCCTTTAGCAGCAATATGTCGTAATACCTAAAATATTGAATTAAAAATTAATAACTTATATTGATAAAATAAATTTAGTTTAAACAACTTACAGCATTAGCTCTATTACGAGTCTCTTCTTGTTTTTGAACCCATTCGGTAAAGCGGTCATCTTCAAAAGCACCATTAAAGAATACTACAACATGAACATTTGACTGTCGTAAACTATTGACGAAATTAGTTAAAAATGATACCATCCGATTCCACTGACCACCACAAACCCAATCTAAAATAACATAATTTTAAATATTAATAACTATAAACTCTCCTACAATTTGATGTTATTATATTTGAATGGAAATCTTTACCTGAATAATATCCTCCATATAAACGATCTAAGCAACATTCTGCATCAACCAATAAACAAAATTGAGCTTTGGATACTTGAATTTGACTTAAATTTTGGTGTACTTTCCTAACAACCATTTTCTTAGCAAGTTGTTGGGACACTGTATGGCCCAGTTGAGTAAGATTGACATTGACACAACTACCTTCAATTTTCCCGCTATCCAGGTATTCCAAAAGCTTATCAACACCCATTGTTATTTGACTAAAATATAAAATAATATACATCATTTAGGTTATCTTTTTTACGAATCTACAAATAATCTTTTATTAATATATATGATTTTCAACTATTCATAGTATATTATAATACAATTATTGAATATAACTAACGATTACCTATGCACCAGAATAAAATACAGAAATATTTTAAGAAACTTTACACAACAATACATTTTTTTTAAATATTATAGGAGAATAATCATTTAGGGGTTATTAGTTAGGAGAAAAATCTAATTTAAAAGTAAGAATATTATCTAGGGTCCAAAAAAGGTATCTTTTATATTCTTATTTTAAAATGTGCTTTGTACATTTTGAATTTAATAAAATATTGAAAAATAACTAATATATACCTATTTTATAAAATAAGAAAATTAAATGGATTAAATTAAATATACACTTTGCTATTTTGTGTTTTTTAAGACAAAGAAAACACATGAATGAATAATGACATCCTAATACTTAGGGTTGTCAGTCATCCCGGTTTTAACAGCATGGTGTTCTGGCTGGTCATTAATATTATCCCAGTTTATGGGAGCCGAGAGAAAACAACTTTAATATTGTATTATTTAATAATAAAACATAGAAATATTGTACATAGTTCCTATTTGGGTTCAGCTTGTCAAGAATTTTGTTTCAGAATTAAAATTAATATAGCTGATTAAAAAAAATTCATTTGATGGAAAAKTATCGATATTAGCTTATTAATAAAATACTAATAATTAATAAATCTAAATATAGTTTATGTAAGCAATTACATTAGTTAATACATTTTTCAATAAAATAACGGATATTATAAATTTCCATATAATAATTATATTAAAAATGGTTTTCTTTTTATTAGCTTTATAAATAATAATTACAATGGAGCATATAAATAAATTTAAAAAAAAAAGAAGAGTATATCAATATATCCCAATTTGGTGGTTTTAAAATATGGCAATCCTACTAATACTTTAAACTATATTTTTTAGAAGATTTAACAATATTTATATTTAGGTTTTCTAACTTATAACTAATTGACATCTTCATCAGTATCTACTAAACTAAATTGTTTGCCAATAAGAAATTGAAAAATTTAATTTAATACTAACATCAAAATATATTATTTTAAATTATTTAAATTATTTATTAAATAACTATATCCAAGTAGGTAATAAGAATATAAATATAAATATACCTAAATGATTATATTAATCCATTGATTATTATAAGTAAATCCAAATTTGATTAACAAGATAAATATGTATAGAGAAAAATACATTACCAAAATTTTAATTATTAATATAAAACTTACTACTATAATTTCTATAGAATAAATAAAATTAAGTGGTATGTACTTAAATTAAACATTTAATTATGATTAAAAATCGATTAATATTAAAGGAATTCAATCGCGATTGATAAAACGTATTGATATTAAATTTACATTGATTGTTAATTATTTAAAAATTCAAGTATCAATTGAATCGATTATGACTTCAGGTACTAAGTAATTTAAATCTGATGCTCATCGAGCCGATCTTTTTACCAAAATACTGAATACCGTACCATTTAAACTAGGGAAATGAGAACAGTGTTAATAAATTTAAAACACGATAAATCGTTATCACAAGATGGCTTCTACATATGCCGGCAACCAAGGAATATTCTTTAATAAACATTTTACATGCGATGTTCTTACTATTATTGCAGCGATACGATCAAATACAGCAGTAGAGTGAAACCATAACACACTTAAAATATTTGTGTAGCAGAAAACGGACAAACTTATAAAGACATAACATATAGAAAAACAAACCAATAGATTAAATTAGAACTAAATACAACTATAATACTAATAAGAAAAAATAAAAATAAAATGCGAAAGCGCAATAGCGAGTAGACCAGAGCACAGAGGCGGCTAGTCGAATACTCGATTACACATACACGAATACTCGATTAATGAGAAATACCGAGATGGTTATTGGCTTATTGCGCATGTGCTACTGACAAATAAAAAACTTGTAGCGTGGAAGAAAAACAAAATTAGATAACACCCGTCGACGGTTGACTAATTGCCCGCCACTCTCAAGTCGCCTCTACATTTATAATTGTCTATCCATCATCATTTAATTTCAAATATCAAATAGATGTTTTCTGCTAATTCCTACCATTTATGACTTACATGGAAGTAAGCATTAAGCTTAAAACTGCTATAAAACTATGAAAATACGATGGACTCTAATGCAATGGCGCCAACTACGTACTTCAGAGGTAATTGTTCAATTGAACAGCTTTCAAAATTGAATGGTTGGGTAAAATAATTGAGTATACTTCTTAATCTTGATACGCCATAATTTAATAAAACAAGAATGTCATTGAATTATGTATATAGAATTAGTTAGGCCTTTTTCTCAGTCGATTAAAGGGGTGGGCCAGTCACTATAGGACTAGGTCAAACGAATTATTTGAACTGCCAGTTTCAATTTCATCCTGTGCCGGTGCCACTGGTATCATATTTATTTGTAAAACAATGCTGTCGCTTATACTACAGTTCATAACAAATTAAGAACATCATTATAAATAGCTCCCGTACCAAGTTCCGTTTACAGTTTTAAGTTTTCCCGAACGACTTCCGGTGTCACTGTACGTCACAGTAATTTTAATAAATGTCAGATACCACTGAATGGTTGATATTATTCATCGTGTTCTAGACTATACACATATAATATATGTCTATGTTCCAGACTCCAGTGAAACTATTACCTGAAATCTTGGTAAAATACTCGAGCCTGTTGCACATAGTAGATATAAAATATTAATGCAGTAAAAAGACAATATTTTATATGGGTTATGTAATTTTGGCAAATCATTTAATTTTATCGTGTAGTTTTTACCTTGTGAATAGGCGGTATTAGAAACATTTTTACTGCTCCGAAAGATGATGATGGACAAAAACAAATTAAACTTACATTATTGTAAAATCAATGCAATTTTCGCATCCACTAAGTCTAAGTGGTAAGTGGTGGGGAACTGGGGACGAGTGAGGGTCCATTCATATATCCCCCGTTTTTACACCCAATGCTAATGCTTTGAAGTTTTGTTTACGTACATTGTCGGTGGCTCGGCGCATTCTGTTTTTTAGAAATTTATTTCCATTCACTCTTACTGTTTTGTTTAAACTGTTTACATAAATACCTACACACCTACATTTTGCAATACTAGTGTTTTTGAAATTAATTTAAAGGGTTATTAAGCAATCAATTAGAAAATTTTGGATTATCTGCAGAACTTGCTTTGATGATTATATGATTCATTGTAAATTGTAATAAAACATTACATTTAACTATGGATGAGATAGACAATATTTTAAAATAATTAAATATAACATAATTTTTATAAAATAGTATTGCGTAATCTCTGTTTCGATTTTTAATGTTAAAATTAAAGGTGGAATTTGAATGTGATAAAATATTTCAAAAACGAACTTAAAATAATTAAAAAATTGTCAAAAAAAACAATTTACAAAAATTACTAAATTTATTGAAAAATATATTAAACTGTATTATTGTTTTTTTTTTTTTTTTTTTTTTTTTTTTTAATAAGTATTAATAGCATTAATATAAAATTTAAAAAGTTGTTGCTAGATCTCATCGACTTATTTTACAATATAAATTTAAACTATTGTCCATACCAAAATATAAATTACGAAAACTTATTCTATGAACTATTATATAATATATTTATTTAAAAATATTATGATCGTGCATAAGAATCTTAAAATTAAATTAAAAATGATCGATTTATTGATTTATCTAATTATTGTTTACAAAAACTTTAAAATGTACTAAAAACTAAAAAAAATTCAAAATCAACTTTTTTATTCTAATTCAAAAGTTCATATAACAAATTTGAGGTAGTACCAACATATATAGCTCATGTATGAATGGAAAACAATGCATAGGTAAGCCATCGAAATTTCAGATCAAAATATAACAACTCGGTAGTTGGTACACTAAATACTAAAAAATATCTAGACTATCTATTTAGTTATGTCTATATATTAGTGCTATGCTTGACTATTAGCGAATATTGGCTTATAGTGAAAATAATTCCTATATGTATGCCACTAGTTCAGCATTGTGCATTATACTACCCTAGAACGTTATGAGTGACACAAGTAATATAAAAAATCACATTATTGTAAAATCAATACTTTATTCCTTTACATTCATTATCGATCCGTTTAGAATCTATAAAATTAAAGGTACGGTTTCCTAGACGCGACCGGTCTCGGCGACAGGTCGCCGCGATCGGTCGCTACGACCTGTCGTTGGTGCGTGCTGGTTWCCCAGGCGCGACTGGTCGCCGAGACCAACAATTAGTCTACATTATATTTTGTATCGTCTCAGTGTTTGTCGCAGGCGACGGTCGCGATACACTGCTTTCAGACCGGTGCTGTCGCTGGTCGCGCCGAAAAAAGTTGGTCGCAGCGCGACGGTCGCGTTTGGGAAACCAGTCAATATAAAATACATATAAACAGTGGGAGAGAGACCGTCGCGTCTAGGAAACCGTACCTTAAGGAAGTTACCCGAATTTACTAAAAATAGTATTCGACTAAATCAACTATGTAGATAACTCATGTAAAATTAATATTCGCAAATACTTTAAACTTTCATAAAATGTTTGTAGTTTGTACAAAATGTTCCATAAATTATGACATATTCTGATATTCAAAATATTTTAACTATTTTAGCATGAGGAAATTTAGAAATTTACAGAGAAATTTATTAGTTTTTATTTAACTATTGTCAACAAAAAGTTTTCACTCTGTCAAAATACTTGAACATTTAAATCAAGCTTTCTCACAAGTAGTTGTAAACACATACTACTGTTAATAGAGTTAAACCATAGGGAGAGTAATATTAATATTACTCTATGTCTCTATGAGTTAAACAGCCCAAACTCTGGATTATGACGTTTACAATGTTTGCAACGTTTTTCGCTATACAATTTCCTCTATATTAATTATGACTAGAATAAACACTATAGTCTAGTCATAATTTATAATCGTTAGATACTCAGATACCAAGAAACGCCGTATTGGGTACGGTGAAAGAAATGCTGTAGGTACACAATTAATCACTAATAAGTTGCAGAAAATGTTTTTTACTAATGTATTTTCTTAATCTTTTTTTTTTATTGATCTTTATAGCTTTGGCGACATAGGTCATTAGCTTTATACATAATTTACATTATACTATTACTTAAAACTTACATGTTTTAGGTGACAATTTAATTACAATAATAATAAGGGCTGTTGACTATATTTATTCTACTTAAATGTATTTATCTATTTTGGTTGTCCTGAGGAATGACATGATTTTTTCGGGTTGACAGTCGGGTCCGATTAATTCGTATAAGTTTGTTGGTATATTTAGTTTTTCTCTTTCTTCTTCATTTGATCGGCATTCTGTCATCAAGTGTTTAACTGAGAGGGTTACTCCGCATGTGGTGCATTCTGACGGTGGTTGGTTCTTCATGAGGTGGGTGTGGCCAATTCTGAGTAGGTTTATTATTATTTCGGTTTTTCTTGAAATTTTGTATCGCGGCCAGGGATTTATGTTATGTTTTATTTCACGTAATTTGTTGTTTTGGTTTGACCATTGATTTTGCGATATATTTTGAGTAATTATTTTTATGTCTAATATTGTGTTACTTTTTTGTTTGGGAGTTTTAATCTTTTTTATTATTTGAAGAGATTGATGAAATATACGTAATATAAAGAGTTTATATAAAAAATCTGGTTTAAAATTTCTTCTGTGTCATCGACACGCTCTTTACTGGCTTTGTTCATTTCAAAGTATATGAACCATAAGAAATATATTTTAATTTTATTAAATGTTTATATTTTATGATATATATCATACTACTATCAGTACTATCATACCATGTATCTACTTCTACATGGGTGCCCATTGGTAAAATTTTAAGGACGGTCAAAATAAAAAAAATCTCTAATGTATGAAAGTGAAGATTTAATTGATTTAATAATCACCAAGGGCTTAAGTATTATAAAAAGTATTCTTCCATAGTATTTCCACATGCCCGGTGTGTTATCGCCCCGCCATCCATAATATAACAATAAATACATCGAACAAATAACCTAATAATTCGACGGAAAAAACGTACCTAAATAATATATACCTACATGGCCACATATTATATTGTTTTATAGTATAGAAGTACCATCATAGATATTTATTATTTATCACATAATAAGGATCGATATAATGGTATAATATTGATTATGATTGAGAGCGTATGCAGTACACTTATAATATTAAATAAAAATCTTGAGAGTATACTGCGTATAATTGCCGTATATTATATAGTATATTTGTAGTATCAGTACACCTCTGATTGTAAATGGAAATTAAAAAAAAAAAAAGGTTAAACGTAAATTTACAATAAGTTTTCATGACAAAATAAAATTTAGACATAATTCATCAAAACCACAGAAATTTTAAATTATTTTCTTATGAATTCATAAAAAATTATAAAATTCAGCCAAATTTAAAATTTGCAAATGTAATACAAGATTTTTCGTAAAGTTTTCMTACTCAAAAATAACCAGAAAGTTAAATTAGTTATCTATGAGCGTTTGAAGTTAGACCTAATCTTGGAAATTCACTTGTAAATGAACGATTTCTTATTTTTTCTGGAAATATGTTCTTATTTTGTTATAATTTGTAATTCGAAAACGAATATGAATAGATGGTTGACATTGTCATCAAATGTTTTGTTATATTTATCCATACGTCATGTTTTAAGTTATAACACATACCTATTGAGTTATTTTTAGACGTTTGAATTTTTTTTTTCTACAATTATCAATAAAACTGTTTTCGGATATTAAAAACGCTTGAAAATGTAATACGACGATTTTCAAACGTTATTATAGCAGCAACTAAAATATATTAAAGATCTAATGGCGCAATTTTTTTAAAAAGCATTTAAACACTTAATTTATTTTGTTGTTAAATATGTTTAAAATGTTCAATTTCTATAGTTATGAATTTAAAATTTAAAACAAGGTTTTTCATACTCATGAGTAATTTAAACTCTACCCAAGTACCTTAACAATAATTCTAAAAAGTATATATGGTTTTCTTTTTATAGTTACAATTTTATAAAAATATAATATTTTAAGTAAATATTAGGACGAAATAGATAGGTATGTAACGAAGATAAGATTAACTTAAACTTAAAAAATTAATTATGATACAAAAATCTTTCAGTGAACAGCTGTCATACTCTTTTTATATTTTACCACCTAAAAAACTTAACTCCAGCTCTAGTATTTATTAATATTCTATTATACATATTTTATACCTTTTTGACTTTCGTGTTTGAATTTTATGATTTAAATAATTAAAATGGTTTTTGTAATATTATGTAATTTTTAGATTATCTGATTATCTAGATCAGGGATTCTCAAGAGCTTGCATGAACATTTTAAGTCTTTTAACCAATACATTTTTTTGAATACCCTTTCTTAGTTACCTAACTGAAATATATATAAAGAAAATTAAAGAGTTACACACATTTTTATTTCATTCGGGTTTGTTGGGCAGACTTGTGAAATTCCAAGTACCTCCAAGGGGTACGAGTTCCACAGTTTGAGAGTCCCTGATCTAGGTCGTAACATTCACATTTCATTTCAACATTGTTTTAAAGTGATATAATTTGATTTTGAGAACTGATAATTAAACAAGATAAATTATCTTCACATTATCCCGAAGTTTTGATATTTCATTAATTATCAATATAAGTGTATACGTTTTACAGGGGTCATTTAGTAACTTAATTATAACTAATAAAAGCTGTGTTTAAAAAAAATATTAGTAATTTATGAGCTTATTAAAATACCAAAAATTAAATTAATTGAAAAATAATAATGTAACATAGCATGCATAATCCATCTAATAATAATAAAAATAATATGACTGATAGCTTATAAGCAAGTTTGTTAAAAAAAAAAAAAAATATATATATATATATATATATTTATATCCACAGTATATAAAGAAACAATATATTACATATTTAATTAAAAAGGCCCATCACGCAATCTTAATCACGAATACCATGTGTTTTTTTTTTATATTCTGTCTCTTATCACTTATACTCATTATGCTAAGAATTATAGATTGTATAATTATTATAAAAATAAAAAATAAATTAAAAAGGAAAATGGTTAATTTATTTTAACTTCATTCATTAAAACTAGTTTGTTTAAATTTGTAGAAACAGATGGGTAGTGAATTGCTATTAGTTAAAAACTAATTTTGTGATACATAAACAAAAGGGATTTTATTAAAAATGAACAAAAAGTCAAATTTAATTTAAAGTGAGTAGTAATCTAAAGTAAACAGATGAATTTCTTTATACTGAGATTGGTTTGAAGACTGTTCAGTTGTGAAATAACATATTACTTCAACCAAAGTTAATAGTTTTACCAAAGTATGCAGCTAAATTTGCTTCTCTTAATGCTTCCGAACACGTCTGAAATCAAGAAAATGTTTTTATGATTTAACATATTGACAGACATTTGTCATTTTTATGAATTCCTAAAATGGTTTATCACAACACATTATTATTAATATAAAAAAATAACAAAATCTATGAAATTTTTAGCATAAATGCCAACATAATGGATATCAACATTATATATTACTGTTACAGCAGTAATATCCACTTATGTGTTTCTTAATAGTGACTTATAAAAGTAAAAATAAAATTACTGGATGTGCATGGCAGACTCTAGCAATATCTTCACAGGATGCTCCATATTCCATTGCCAAAACAGCTTCATTGACTATCTCTCCAACACCCTAAACACACATCAGTATAAATACTAGAAAATGTCAAACTTTTATAAGAATATATTACTGGTCCAATTAAGTGACATCCTAATAATTTATCAGTAACTTTATCGCCAAGAACTTTAACAAAACCATCAGTTTCATTGTTAGTTTTTGCTCTACTATTGGCTGCAAATGGGAATTTTCCAATTTTATAATCAACACCCTGAAAATATAGTTCATTAAAAAAAAAAATAAGCCAATTAAAATTAATCTACAATGTCGAAAATTACTTCATTTTTCAAGTCTTCTTCACTTTTTCCAACCCATGCAACTTCTGGGTGTGTATATATAACTGAAGGTACACAATTGTAATCAATATGTACTGGTGCACCTGTTATACCTTCAACACAAACTATACCTTCATCTTCAGCTTTGTGAGCTAACATTGGTCCATGGATACAATCTCCGATTGCAAATATACTATAAATATAATTATAAGTTTAGTTAAAATGAGTACCTTTGAATACAAACAATCCATAACAATTAACAATACAATTGCATACTTAGGAATAACAGTTTGGAATCTAGAATTTACGGGTATTCTTCCTTTAGCATCCTTTTCAATGCTATTTTCTTCTAAGCCTAAATTCTGTGTATAAGGTCGACGACCAACACTTACAAGTAACACATCACAGTCCAACTAAACATTAAAAACTCATTAAAATACTATGAATATGAATAATTTATAAATTACTACCCACCGTCTCTTTTTTTGAAGAATCTTTAGCATTCTCAACTTCAACTAATATTTGTCCTCCTGATTTATTTGCACTGATAACTTTAGTTCCCAATTTAAAACCTAATCCTTGCTTAGTCAATATTTTTTGAAACTGTTTAGAGACTTCGCCATCAATGCCAACACCACCAATTGTAGGCATAAATTCAACAGCAGTTACTTTTGCTCCTAAACGACTCCAAACAGATCCCTAATAAATACCAGAAAGTATTATTACTTAGATTATGTTTATTTTATAAAATTAACTCACTAGCTCAAGACCAATAACACCAGCACCAATAACAATCATTTTTTCAGGAACTTTCGAAAGTTTTAATGCACCTGTTGAAGAAACAATAGTTTCTTCATCAATCTATCAACAAAATTTAAAAATTTTTTGTACACAAATATGATTGTATGTTTATATCAAGATTGTTTGAACATACATCGATTCCTGGAAAAGGAGTAACTTCAGAACCTGTAGCGATAAGTATATTTTTAGTTTTGATATCTTCTGAAGATCCATCTTCTTTCAGTACTGATACTGTGTTTGGGTCCTTAATTTTACCATGACCTTTAGCTAATGTTATTTTATTTGATTTAAATAAATGAGCGATTCCACCAGTCAGTGCAGTCACAGCATTTGTTTTTGTTTGCATTAATGCTTCTAGGTTAAGCTTGACATTCTCAACTAAAATAAATTGGAGAATATTAATACAAATCATAAATGGTCACATTTTATTGGTATGTAAAAATCAAGACTTAAACTAAATTTACATACCTTCAACTCCTCGAGAATTTAAATCACCAGAATGTGCCATATGATAATAATGTGAGTTATTCAGCAGTGCTTTAGAAGGAATGCAACCAACATTCAGACAAGTACCTCCGAGTGTGGGATTTTTTTCAACACAAACAGTCTACACAATAAAGTAACAAATATGTTTAAATTATGACATATACTTGAAAGTATCCTATTAACACTTACATTCAATCCCAACTGTGCAGCTTTAATGGCAGCTACATAACCACCAGGTCCAGAACCAATAACAACTAAATCTACTGAATCTCCACTTGCATAACGACGGTTAACTACAGAATATATAAATCCACACTCGATATGTTTTGACTTTTTTAACATATTTGGCTAAACATGAATGGAGAATTCAAATTTAATTTCATCTAATATTATCATTTATTATAAACAAAACTAATACAAACCTTTAGAGCCATTGAAAACCTACTAAATATATTTGATTGCATTTTGCTTGATCAAGTGGAAATCACTTAGGGAAATAAAAAATTATTAATTTTGGGCCAGATCCAATGTGTTTTGAACTAAAAACTGAAAACGAACGATAAATGATGAAATTGAAATATGAATTATGGATATAATTTTTTTTGCCCTTCAAAATGTCAAAAAATTTTATTTATCTATTCCCTCTCCAAAGTCCAAAGTATTTTGATAACACGAACTTACGAATCGTGATATTGCTAACCACACCACACCACAACCCTGGTAAATTGATCAGCTGTGTATTAACGCGAATAATCAAATCAAAATGGCTACGATGTGAATGTGTGATTACACTCGAACGTGGCGTTTATTAGTTTTAAGGAATAAGATTGCGATTTTTTAATACTTTTTATTTTTAATTATTAATAAGTACACTATTAGTATTTAATATATGTAATATTTGTATCATTACTCATAAAAACAATTGTTTAATGTTGTCATTAAACAATTGTTTTACGGATATTGAATTGTTTTTCGTATAATCATGTTGTGGTAGCCATTGATAATTAGTTAATGTTTCATAGAAATTAAAATAATCTCGTTAAGTATGTCGTCTTCCGGAGATTTCGGTAATCCTCTTAGAAAGTTCAAATTGGTGTTTTTGGGTGAACAAAGTGGTACGATTATTTAAAAAAATCAATTTACTTGTCGTATGCATTATATCGTTAAGTATTAAACTTTTTAATAATACACATTACTCTTATTCTTATAGTTGGTAAAACGTCTCTCATCACAAGATTTATGTATGATAGTTTCGATAATACTTACCAGGTAAACTTTAGTATTAATAAAACCATCAACTACTAATAGAGTTATTAAAAAAGTAATTTTTTTTTGTCTTGTGTTAACAGGCCACCATTGGTATTGATTTTTTGTCTAAAACTATGTATCTCGAAGATAGAACTGTAAGTTGTTTTTATTTTAGATTAATTAATACAACTGTAACATAGTTATTAGTCTTAGTCTTTAAAGCTATTATTACAATGAGTATGTCATATAAAATTTAGAGAATTCATAATAAACAGTAATTAAGATATTAATCTATTTTAGACCATAGGTTTTAGCAGAAGATGTATCATACATTTTATTGTAATAATGTACTAATTACATCTAGTTATTTTATAAGAACCATGGTAAAAATGTATAAACTCAAAAAGTTATGTAAAAGGGTTTTTACTCTACTTAGGTATAATGAAATCTATTTCGTAAACTAATTAATAAATTTATTTTTAATATGTACTTAATTGTTTAAAAATGTGTACATTATTTTTATTATAATAATTTAGAAGAAATTAAATACTCTTAATTATAATTAAATTTAAAAAATTTAGGTACCTATATCGTAACCAAACTTTCGAACTCAATGTTAACGGGCATGTGATTAATAACTACACATTTGTCAGACTATAAGCATTCACAATAATCACCTATAAATAGAAAAATAATAAAATTTAATTTAATTTAAGTAGTTGTTAATTAAATATAAGGTGCTGATATATTATATGAAATAAGTACTTTATATCTTTAATAAAAAAAAACCTTTATAAAAAATAATTGTTATGAATTTAATATAAAAATATTACCTACTTTGGTTGTTGAAAACATTACAAAATAATAAAAAGTAACCATTATTGTGAATTCATAATTGTATTTATGCCATATTGTTTTAATTATTAATATAGTTTAATACCTCATGTGTTACCATTATATTTTTAAAATATACCTGGTACCACTATCAAAATAAATAGACATTTACATAACTATACCAAATATTTATTTAATATTTTATGCCAACCATATTGTAATTTTTTGAAATTAAATTATTTTTTAGACCAGAACATAATAAATATTCTTAATCTATGAAAGAGATTATTTACTTAGTACTATATTTGAATATTGGTTTAATTTAAACATCTTCAAAATAATTAACATTATACTTATCTTATCTAATTGAGTAATAATCATAATTCTATAATAATCTAGTGGTTTCTTAGTTAAACCACTTATGAATGTAATCAATAAATATTTTCATATTTAATAAAAGAAAATTTTACAATCTATGCTTCAGCACAATACACAAATGAGATAATTATTCAATATATAAAATAAAAATAGCAGAACTCATATTATTTTCTTATTATACATTTTAAGAGTACCTATGCTACACCAGTAAAAGCTTTTTTTGTCTTACAAATGCATAATATTGTTAACTGTACATTCTGAATAATTAATTTTACTTTGTTTAATTTTAGAATAAATTAACCTATTCTTCAGTTTGCTTAATAAATCAAAAATGTTCTAGTTGTATTGGATAATTAGAAATACTACATTCTAGATTTTCTCTGAATGGCGCTATGATTTCTCTATTATCTATTTTATCATGTTTAGTATTTTTAGTCTGTTTTTACAATTACTTATACGGTTATAACTAGGTCCCGAAATTAATATATGCACTCATTTTCATTCAATTATGTTTCATTATGTGAACAATAATGATATTTAATTCAATTTAGTCTAAAAATGTATATAATTCATTAAACAATTAATATGGAACAAAAAAAAATGTATTAAATGCGTAGTTGATATAATTTAATTGTATTTTGTATAATGTATTCAATTGTATGTTGTATTTTGGACATTCACTCATCGAAATAAAAACTGATACAAATAAAATCTATAAATACAAATTTAGTATATTTTTATAATACATTATTTCATAGTTAGCTTGAAAGTTACAGTTAACTACTAAAGACTTAAAATAAATTTTCAAATAAAAATACATGTCAAATTTTAGCTAAGTTTTTGGTTTCAAATTTGCAGGTTTTACATATGACATAGCGTTAAGACTTAGTATTAATAACTTCATACTATTTTTTCATAAATATACATTATATTTTAGAAAAATGGTAAAATATGCATAAAAATTAAAAATGTTCCAAATATGTAACATTTAATTATGCATACCTACACATTAGATTGAGATTCAAATTTGTGTCTTACCTAGCTACTTTTAAATTTAATAAATAAAAATATGCAAATGCTTACAATTATGGGCTCTAGTTATGACTTATGAGTTTTAATTTTAATATGTATATTTTCAGGTAAGATTACAGCTATGGGATACTGCAGGACAAGAAAGATTCAGAAGTCTTATTCCTTCTTATATAAGAGATTCTACTGTTGCTGTTGTTGTATATGACATAACAAGTAATACACTATCTTAAAACATCATTACATAATGAAATAGTGAGTAGTGAAACGTAATTTTGTTTAGATGCAAATTCTTTTCACCAGACATCAAAATGGATAGATGACGTTCGAACTGAACGTGGTAGTGATGTAATAATAATGTTAGTCGGTAACAAAACTGATTTAACTGATAAACGGCAAGTATTAGCTGAAGATGGTGAACACAAGGCAAAGGAGTTAAATGTCATGTTTATTGAAACTAGTGCTAAAGCTGGTTACAATGTTAAACAAGTTGGTGTTGACTAATAATCATTATAACATGACTATTATGCATTTTTATTTGTGTTTAGTTGTTCAGAAGAGTGGCTGCAGCATTACCTGGAATGGATGTAGCTGAAAATAGACCACCTGAAGACAGTATCCTTTTTAAATATTTTGTACAGCTTTTTATCACTGCATGAATACTTGATGCTTGTGTACTGTACTTTAGTATACTTTTAAGCTCTAACATGTATATTTTTTATTTTCATGCATATGTATTTTAGCTTAGTAAAAATCATAAACATTTAAAAACTCAAGTGTTATTCAAGGTGTGTGTATATATATATATATACTCCCACCAAGTATCCTCAACCCTTTTACTTTAATAATGCAATTATTGAATTATTCAAAATCTGTTTTTTTTATTTTTTAATATTCTTAAATGACTATGTTTTCAAATTCTTGACATTTGTTGTACTATTCAGAGAGTGTCCTGTAGAGATATTATAAACTACAATTTTTACAATTGTAAAATACAATTTACAATTAATTATTCTACTTTTTTATGGAATATTATTTAGCTGATAATTTTGACACATTAAAATCAAAATTCAAATAAGTAGTTTTTGAGCTATTTAACTTCAGTTTTAATGTTGAAAATTCCAAAATGCATTAATGGAAAATGAGGGCGAGCATCCTTAGTGAATATTTACCTACTTTATATATTTATTTATTACATGTATAAAAACCATTTAAGCACATTTACAACTATTATTTTTTCACTGATGATGAGAGTAAAAGAATATTATATAATTTTGTTTGTATATATGATAGAAAAATGCTTCATTTGCCTTGGTATGTGATTTTTAACTAGAAATGAGATATTGAACATTTTTCTTCAATTCAAATTATTATGGTACGATAATATGTGTTATACTAAATATTATTGATTAGCATTATAAATAAAATGTATGATCTCAATTTGTATTTCTCTGATAAAAGAATTTATAAAATCAATACATGATTATAATTAAGAAATAACTAAATTTAGTCGAATAATGAATTATAGTAAATGCTAATTTATTAGTTTTTGTGATTTACTTTTAACTTAATAATTAATTATAATTAAAAATTACTGAATTTTCTCTTTTCTTTTGCCGCATGTTTGTTTCCTTAACTATTGCTTGTTTTCAGTGCAAGAAGTCGTGCTTAAAGACACACCAAATGATGCAGCAAATCCAGAGAAGAGTTGTGCATGCTAATATATAATTTAAAGTTAAACTTATATAATAAAATCCATCCAATTTTCATTACATATAATAAAGTCTTAAACTCTAAGGACTAACTTTTTGTTGTTTAAATAACAGAATTAATTCTGGGCATGGATAATGATTCAATATATTTATGTAAATATTAGATGAGTTAGACCAGAAATTAATTAAAATAATACATATAATTATAATTAAACCTATAATTAGTAATTATAATATAACAAAAAAATAACAATTGAAAGAAAATATTTCCACCTCGCTGAACATTCCCTTGAGCTTTAAATAAATGCTACATTATTATTGTTTTGTAAACAATTATTTTTATTTATTTCACAGTTATAATTTTTAACTAATAGTAGTGTGGTTAATGTAATTGTAAATATATTTTATAATTTTGAACTTTGTATGCATTAATTTTTTTTTACTATCCTTAACACATTGCATAGCTGTTGATTTACAAAATCATGCGGTCAATCAGGGAGACTCACAAGAGTCTGATAGCAGCTGTATGTGTTAATTTTGAATGTTGACTTTTTTATATATTTGTAATAATCTTATTGCTTTTTAATTTTATATATATATATACATAATAAAACTAACTAAGTCGTGTTAAGAAATTTAAATTAAGTAGGAAAGTTGCAATATATCATTGGAATTCATGGATTAAGCCTATGTTAAATCACTGTTTAGTATCTACCTTCATTATGGCTAGTCACATTCTCTAATTTTTTTTTGTTAAAACTTCTGTAGTATTCTATTTTTTTTTTTTTTCAAGTTAAATGTCACACGGTGTTGTTAGCCTTGATAAAATCTTCACTATATAGTCTACTATAATTCCTGAAAGTGAATTACTTTTTGAAACTTTTGTTGTAAATTTATTATAGCTTTGTATCATTGTTTAGTAGGAATAATATATTAAATATTCATTAGAATATATACTTCATATTTAAACATTTTAAGAAATAGCTAAATTGGTTGTATTGGTAAATGGTAATAAATAATTATTATATAATAATATACATTATATAAATTTTAAATTTTATATATCAAAACTATGTTTTATAATCAATGATTAAAGTTAAATAAACATAATGACTAGGGCTCATATTTCAATACCTTAAAAATTTTTTTTAATGTATCTATCTTTCTTTAAACCATCAAGTATTACTCTATGCTATAAGCTTAAAAATATGTACCTACGTAGTATAATTTTGATAATATAATGAATATACTTTTATTTAGTGGACTCAATACAATGTTGAACCTAAAAAATCAATTTATGACTAGAATTGTGTGAATCAATCTAAATCAAAATTTAAAAATATGTTTTTTTATTTTTATTATTGATCAAAGTACATCGACAACTAGGCCATTAGTAAAAGAAATTTTTTTCTTGTTACATTTTTAGTATAAAAATATGTTTACTTACTACTTAAAACATATTTCAATATTTGTAGATAAGAAACTTTCAGGCAAATAAAAATTATGTCAAAATTATATTACTTTGAACTCTAATTAAATATCTAATAACTGTGTGACTGAAATACTGTGAGCATAAATTGCATAACTGTTTCACAACTGTTAGGAAAATAAAATTCAATAGAGTTAAAAGAAAAAAGCACAATTGGATTTAGTGAGAATTATCAATAAAATAAATATGTTTGATGTGCAATATATATTTTTATTTTTATTGTTTACAATTTACAATAGCTATAATATTAAGTACCCATGATTTAAAATAAATATTACAACAAAATGATGAACTGCATGCAATATTGCTATTCCACTATACGATACAATTAAAATCTGGCTATAATGAGATCAATCAAAGTTTTTATAAAAAATAATTATAAATATAACCATACAAAATGTACAATGTCTAACTCTAATCATAAATTAAAAAATTAATAAATAATGACCAGGTCTTAGGAGTTATAGCACTAATAAAGTACATTTTTGGCGCTTTAATATGCACTTAAAAACACCACAATGAGTGCTATAAATAGCACTAAATATATCAAAATACATTTCAATTAATATGTTTATGTTTTTCATAATATAAGTAGGCATAAAATATAGTAGTAGATATTTAAGAGATCAGTATTTGGTTCGGCTCTGGAACAATTCCTACTATATGCATAATCATATAATACCAATTGATTCAAAATCTTAAATTTTAATACAACTTTGTTCATTTCCATTATTATATAAGAATATGACTGTAAATAGCAATTAAAACTCTAATCATAAAAAAAAACTAAAAAACTAGCAAAATAAAATAACTTATAAGTTTGCAAGAACTTTCAAGCCCTGGTAATGATTAATTAAAACATGCAGTTTTTATTGTGCTTCAGGAATTTCTTCTTCTTCTTCAATGCTATTTTCTTTGATAGATTCTTTTTGAAAACCTAATTTTCGAAGAATATCTAAAAAAAAATCAAGCAGATCATTAAATTTATTTATTGAGCAATTATAAGTTATATTATATAATCTAATTTATTTATTATTAACAAAATGTAATTTGCTCAGATCAGGTTATGTTGACCCTTCAATACATATATATAACACCTTTTTCAACTTTTGAATCAAAAAAGTTTTAAAGAAAATAATGGTAAAATATAATAAAATAAGCTTAGGTACCTAGAAACCTATTGTATCCTATTTCATTTAATGTATATTTGTGATCAGTAATGTACTAATGTATAACTGTGAGCTATTGTGAAAAAAGTTAGGAACGCTTAATTTAAAATCTATAATATATTGTTTTTTTTTTTTTTTTACAGGTAAGCTAATTAATTAACTTAATTATTTTTTTTATTAGATTTGTTAAAAATGTTAAAATTTAGACTAATTAATACCTATGTAAATGCTATAACTTTATTTTATATATAAATATACTGACTACTGATTAATAATAGTTTCTAAAAAATGTAAGTAATTTATATTTCAAGTAAACAAGATAATTCTACTACAATAAATGAATAACATAGGATTAAAATGAATTCTAATTTAATAATGATGTACTTTTTTTGTTTACATTTTTATTACCTACTATAATATACTTGTTATGAGTTTATGACTAACTAATCAAGTTCATTGAATGTCATCATAACTAAATATAAATTAAAACTATATATATAACCAGATGAGTATTTATTAACGATATTTTTTTTCAAGGATTCGTGTGATTTTTTATGCTTCCATAGAAACAATTATTATTAAATCATAACAATACAATTTGTTCTAATTTTAAATTTGGACCAAAAGGTAACGATCCTCTCAATTGAGGGATTTTTATTTGTTACTTGTGGTTCAATATTTGTATCCATTATATTGTTTCTAATAAATAAATTTTTCAATGGTGTTAAAAAAAACATATTCTGGAGTGGACTGACTATTTTTTGTCCTGGGTATAAAATTAATTGAATTGAAAAAAATCATATTTTTTTTAACTTACTAAAATTAGGAACGAGTTTTACAGTATAATAAGAGTTTAATTTAAGAAAGGGACCAGCAGTGGTAATTGAAGCCTGCATCATAATTACAAATGAGAGCCTGGATTACTATTTGGTTTATTGCTTGTAGTCCCACGAGACAACACATCTTTAAATATACCAATAAAGAAGTATTTTACTATATTTATACAATGAAATTAGAATGAAGGATGTTGTAACTTACTAGCCGAATAAATTGTACAAATTAAATATAATGAATGCTATCAATAAAAACTTCCTTACTTAAAAGAAAATGTATTATCACATGTTATCTTGTTAAGCTGTTTGTTAGCAAGCATAAAACAGATGAAATTAAATTTTAAGTTTATTCAGTAAAACCCAATAAAAATATATACATTCATAATGTCAAATAGTGTAGTCCCATAATTTAATAAAATAGTACACACTCTTAATCATTTTTGTTTTCATGTATATGAATAATAGGTACTAAATATTTTGTTCAAAAGTTAAATTAAACTCATAATTGTTTTATAACTTCTATAATTCAATGGTGACAAAGTCGAAGTTAAGGTCAATACATGGGTGATGGGTTGACAATATTTTTAAAAAGAATACGGGGATCTAAGAGAGCCGAAACCCTATGGTTAGGTTAGCTAGGTTAGGTTAGCTAGGTTTTGCAACATTTTTAACAATATAATAAATTATGTTTAATTACTTATTAAAAATAACGAATAAATTTAAAAAAAGTGTGAATCAGTTTATTTGAAATAAATGGTATGTTGTCTATACCAATTAATTTTTAAGTATGCATAAGCTACTCAGTAGGTATTCATAAATAATAATTATTTCTATCTATTGGTTCAAATTTAATAAAATATTTCTAAATAAAGACTGAATACTTCATACTAACCTTTATCAATATAAAAGAGTAAATTATCATTTTGTTGTGTACGAGCCAAAAGTTCATTCACTAATTGAACTGCTATTTTATTTTCACCTTGAGTTGTATAATATTCTACCATCATTGAATATACATCACCATATCTAAGTATATCCATATTGGGGGCTGACAAAATTTGTCGACATAATGTCATAGCTGAATCACCATCACCACTGTCAATTTGTCTGAATAAAAAGATGATTAAAATAAACTAATATATTAATATGCTTTAGAGGATTCTAGGACTTATGGATTTTATACCTTTTAACATCAAGAAATTTTTTAACTAAAGTAATTTTTTTTGCAATATCTTCAATCAGTATTTTATACTGATCACTATCTTTAGACAATACTTTTAATGCCTCTGATAAAGCACCAACAGCTTTACTGTAATTGCGATACTCGTCTACTTCAAGCTATTTATAACAATACAATATTCAACATAAGATTAAATAACAAAATAACAATATGAAACATTTATAAAAATGTATCACTAAGAAATAGTACCCAAAAAACCCATTAACTGTAGACTGTAACACGTGTTTATTTTTAAATAGTGGCCAACAAAAAATTTTTTCTCTTCTAGAGTAATGCAAGTAGAGTTTAAAAATAATAATATTATTATAATAGATAAGATTAAGTTTTGGAATACATCAGTTTTTTTTTTATTATTATTTTTAGTAATTAAGGCATTCCTAGCTAGAATATCTATCTAAGCCTACTGATATATACAAAGTTTTTACAATTTTTTTTTTTTTTTTTAACAATTTTTCTTTTATACATAATTGCGATATAATAATTAAATATTAAGTACATCAGTAATTATTATGTTTCATCATTGATTATAGAAATAGATAAAGAAATTTAAAAACTATTATAGATAATTACGCAAATTTATACTAATATAAATTTTCTCTTTGTGTATAATATTTCTAAGGGAATCCCAATAGCCTATGCTGCGGTAGATATTATATTAATTTAAAAAAACTTTGATAACTAAATATGAGGTCCGGTTAATAAGCATAATTAAATAACAAACATATTATGTGAAATCTTTTTTTTTTAATAGAATTTGTATGCTTAGTTATTTGCTGTGAAAGTTAATCATTTTAGGAGATACTAATTACTATGGTAATGATTTTTACTTGAGCACAAGAAATGTAGAAATTAGCCAAAAGATGAGGCGCTTTTCCTTTATTATAGAATGACACAATAGTTTTTAAAAATTCTGGACGCTCTTGCCAATCAAGTGTTTGCAAATAATTTGCAGCCATAATGTAGATTTCATGCTGTTTAGATACATTAGCATAAAATATAATTTTTTCCGTGTCTCCTGATTTTAATAACGCTTTCATGGCTTTTATCTAAATACAATAAACAATTTAATTTACTTTTATATTCTAACAGTTTAAATTCATAATAGAACATTTGGTATGATCAAATATTTTTGATCTAGAAACATAAAACATTTTTATAATAGTGAAAGTTAAAAAAAAATACAAACACATTACAACCTTTTGTCCAGCCTGGGTGAATTTCTTTGCTGCTATGTGATAACTGGCTTGCATTAAAGCACATTCAGCCAGTTTCTCTAATATAACTATACGCTTTATATGATCAGATGGTGGTGTAAGACGATCTCCAAGTGATTCAGTAATAATTACTCTGTGCTCATAACATTGTTCCACAGCTTCTTCAAACTAAAATAAACCAAGTTTTGTTAAGAAATTATCAAAAAAATAATCTAAATAAACAAGGTATACTTTGTTAGCCATTGCTAATAAATTAACTGCATTGTCATAATGTCCTTGACTCATAAAAAAATTTGAACATTTTAATAATACACTTGAATCATCTTCTATGTTCAGTTCTTGAGACATTGTAACAATTGCATCATAGTTTTTACATCTATAATTAAAAATAGGTTTATATTGGCATAATATAGAATATAATCAAAATAACTTTCAATTTTGTCAAAAAATCTACTGAAAAAGTAACAATACACAAAACTATAAAAGTGTAAAACAATATTAACAATTACATTTTTAAATAATATTTCATGAATTATTTACCATTACTAAAAAAAATAAGAAAATAAGGGAAATTTTTATAGCTAGTGATTTATAAGTTACTAATTATTAATGAATCATATTCAAACTATACGGAGTGTAACAAAAAGATTGACAAATTAAATAGCTTTTGTTTCAATCAATATTTTTAATATATATATTTTTTTGTAGCAAACTACAAATTGTATGTTCTAAATAATTATTTTACTGCACTATGTTTAATTTTAGAGAGAATTGAACTGATCCATATTTAGAAGTAAAAATATTATATAATCAATGATAGGTGGTATTCGCTTTATATTTTATTTTAAAACAAGTTATGAGCATTTTAAAATAGTAAATTGTTTGAACATTTAAATTTTTGTTATTTTCTACCTAATATTGGCTCAACAATTATTTGCATAGAATGTGAAGTTGTTTTGAATTGGCTAAATCTAGATCACGTTTCACCAAAATAACTATGATTGTACAGTATAAGTTATTGATTTGTATTTTTTTTATTCAACCTATCCTAAGATTATTATCTGTTTAGCTAACTGTAGGGTCAATATTTAAAGAATCAAGCAAACCAGTGATCTGAAGCACATAATATGTTAGTTTTTAAAACTTTGATACTTAAATCTTTATATTCAACGAACAATTCTAAGTTAAGAGTAATGCTTATTGGATTATTTTTAAAAATATTGTTGGTTGTAATTATGTTTTATTTGCAGACAGGAAAACTATTATGAATTTAAATTATGAACTCTTTGTATAAGAAAATATAAAATTTAAATTTTAAAAACAAGTTAATGGTACAATTTTTTTTTTTTTCAATTATGTTATTTGTATGAATTGTGCCACACTATGAATTTGAAGAACATTAATTCAATATATAGATAATTGATTAGTATTTGAACTCCTTACTTAAATGCTAAATCAATAGCTTTATGTAAATAACCAGCTTGATGATATAATATGACTGATTTATCAGGTGAAATTTCTTCAAAATACTGAGCTACACTCAACTTTTCTCTGACATCTGCTAATAAGGCAATATTCCAAAGATGATTGTCAAAAAACTGCTCCTAAGAACCAAAAATTAAATATTTTATTGTAGTAATTTTTTTACATAGAAATATTATAGTGAAATTAGTGGCGTTGTTATGGGGGGAAGATTTATTCCCGGAGATTATTTGTTATTAAATAATTATTTAATTCAGCTTCGTTAGTTGAAAAACTAGAGTGAATTGATCTATTATGAAACTCTATGTAAAGACCATTATCTGTGTTTCTATGTAGGCTTTTTACGATAACTTAGTTTTTAAGTGAGTTATGAGCATTTCTACGCTTTTTGTATGCACATAAAATTGTATTATCGTAAAAAACTCACATACAAACATAGATAATTATCTTAACTTAGAGTTTCATAATAGATCGATTCACTCTAATTTTTAAGCTAACGGAGCTTAAGTGATCTGCGAGCGTAAATTATTTAGCTATGTTATGAACTTGTAAAACGGAAAAAACAAATAGTTATGTAGTGTCTTCTTAAAAATTTAAGATAGTATTATTATAAAAATAAGTATTTTAATCCTAGTTATTAAAATAACAAAATCAGTACTATTTAATATTTGCACACAACTTACCTTACATAAACGAATAGCATTTACATAAGCTGTGGCATCAACATACATTTTTACAGCTTCTTCATACAGTCCTTGCATTTCATATGATCTTGCGAGATGACAACAAGCAGCTTTATTGCTGGTGTTCAAACAAATCTGAGCTGCTTGCTCCATTTGGCCAAGATAACATAATATGCGAACAGTAGACAAATCATCATTTKCTTGTTGATAATATTTTATTGCGCCATCCATATCACCACTACCTTCTAAATACTGAGCCAACCATTTCAACAAGACTCTAAAATTTATTTAATTAAATAACTAATTTTTAAATTTTATAAATTAACTTACACATTTTTGTTTTTAATTATGTAATTTTCTAAAGTTACTGGATCATCTAATAACATCTTTGGTATAGTTAGTCCATGTGTTTCTGACTTGCAATACATAGCAGCTGCTCCAGCTACATCACCTTTATTTTCCAAGATGTGACCTATATTATAATATGTATTTCTAAGATGAATGCGATCTTTTGTCTCAGCCACATCCAAAGAGGCTGTTATCTGATTTCTTGCTCTATAGAATCTATTTAGAAGATCATAACGATTACAATATTTGTACAATTCCTCAGCTTCGTCCTTATAAAATAAATTATAAATAAGAATACTTCAAAATATCAATTAGATGAAATTGAAACTTACATACATTCCTAGATGTACAGCAAGACATGCCACTTTTGCATCCAATTCTGGTTCTGTATTGATTGAACGTAAAATAGCTAATCCTCTACAATCATTCATGTGACCTAGACATATTTCAGCTACATCCAACCGTTTTGTTTTTACACACATTTTAGCCAAACTTGTCCAGACTGCAGGACTACACGAAAGATAAAATATAAATATTTGTAATAAAGTATTATGAAATACATAACTAAATAAAATATTTACCTCTTAATATTAGTGATAAAATTAAAAGCAAGGTCTAAGTCTCCGAGGCATAAATTATAACCAAAGTTGACAATAGCTGTTCGAATATCAGAATTACAGTCATCAATTCCTTCAAATTCTTTCATGAGAATACGCTCAACACGTGTTTTCTATAATTTAAACATAAATTTTAATTTATATAAAAAAGGTAAATATTATTAAATTTACTGTATTTGTATTGCGTTTGCATAATGTTATATAATAYGGAGCATCAAGTCCTAGAAATGTACAAAATTTATCAGGGCAATGTATAATATCTTGAATTTTAATTCCTTTTTGTTCAATAAAGAACATACTAAGTATGACCTAAACAAATTTAAAATAATTGTACAACACTAGTTAAATAAAAAATAATAAAACATACAGAGGAACCAATCATTTTATTTTTTTTCTGTCTATTTGCTACCGTGTATAAACTTAGTTTTGATGGTTTATTTTCTGGTTTGTCAATACTCTTAGCTTCACAAAATAATAAATTTGGCTCGTTTGTATCCCAATAGTGAGAAACAATAAATCTTGTATCATTATATTGTCTAAAAAAATAGGTTATGTTATTTAATTATATATTTCTTTTTACAGATATTTCTATACACATTATAGTACATTACACACATTTCATCAATATCTAAACCATTTTCAAAATGTTTTACATATATTGTATCTAAATCTCGATCCCAAACATATAACCGTGGCATTGGTACTAAATTTAAGTTTGCTGCAGTAAATGATACTTTTGTACCATTACTGTTCAAACGTAACTGAATAGTTTCACCATAATCATCTATATTTAATGTTATATCTTTAGGTTTACAAATTGATTTTGCTTCTCTAAAGTAAAATAAAAAACATTTTAATATTTTTAAATTTATTTAAGAAATTAAACCACCTTCTGTTTAAATCCCAGATATGAATAACTCCGGATAATGTGATAGCTGCTAAATAACAGGTATTTAAAGTGAGGCAGACTATTGGTGCTTCAACATCCAATGTCTGTTTAATAGTACCCTGAAATGTTCTTATTTGTAATTTTCCACAGTTTTCAGCCACAATTACAATTCTATCATAAATACATGCTTCTTGCACATCACAATTGAACGTTCCAACTACAGTAGGTATTTCTTTAGATTTAATATTATAAACTGATAATGATTTACCTTTAATATTTTAAAATAAAATTGATTAATGAGTAAAAGTTTTCATAAAACTTCTATATTTTTTACCATTCCATAAACATATATGTTCTTTGTTCAAAGTTAGACCTATAACTTGTATATTAGAATTAAAACTAAATGATTCATCTGTACTACAGTGAAACATATTAAGTTCATTTGATGAAATTTGTACAATAGCCACATCTTCTTTATAACTTGCCAACAATGCATGCTCACGTAAAATATAAATACCATCCTTTGCATGTACTGCTAAATTTAAAGGACCCCAAACACAGTATTTTATGGTATCTTGAATTTTACATGAACCATGAATAGTCCATTGGTCAACAGTTTCTTCTTCATAACGCCAAATAAAAATATTTCCAAGATTTGTCGCACCACACAATAATCCTGAATAATGAGGAAAAAAACAGTACCTAAATATAATTACACTAATTTCAGTAATTTAAAAAAAAATAATTACCCTTTTCGACTGAGTAAGAAATATTTATGAATGTTTGTTTAGGAAATGAGGATGCATAAGAAACTGGCAAAGTTAAAACATAACTGTTTCCAGAATCAATATCCCAAAAACGAATAGACACGTCGTTTGTTGTACATGCTAATAAAGACGGACCAGTCCAAATAATGCACATATCTTCTTTCAATCCATTTAATTTAACCTAAATGATGAATATTTTACTAACGATTTATAAATAGTTCTTAAAATAATATGACATTCAGGAAATATAAAAAGTTTAATATACACCATTAAAATATATTTACAGTTATTATGTGATTGTATATAATTGCAATAGATTGTAATAAATCATATTAACTAACCTTTGAAATTTCACTTAGAGAACCATTTTTATGACATTTATAATAGGCTATAGTTAAGTCTTTGCATACTAAAATACAAATGTCTTTTGATTCATGACATAAAATTCTTAAAATGATCGATTTTGATATAAGTACAATGCTGAATTCTCCATCTTCATCAAAATAAAAAAGTTCTCCTAACAAAAAAATAATGTTGACTTAATAACTCGAAAATGTTATACATAAAATCTGATATTTAAAACATTTACCAGTCACTGCAGCACAGTAAAATGTTATATTGTCTGAAGTTACAGCGCGTGGACCATGTGACGTAGTTGTACGAGGCCGCCACGAACTAAATATATCTAATGCACTTTGGTCACCAGCTACTGCCATTTTAGCTAAATTAGAAATATCAGTAGCAGCTTTTCCAGCTCTAAATGAAATTTCTTTAGATAAAATGGCTTCAACATTTGACTTAAATGATATTTTAAGTAACCCTCGACTATCAGACTTCCATCCGATTATAATACCAGTCTAATATAATGAACATCATAATCATTGAATTAATATAATTATTCATTTTTTAAAAACGCATTATACCCACATGTGCTGTTTCCTACTCACTAGTATAACGTAACAAAGTTTATACCAAGCAGATCAATATTAACTTAGCTTAAAAATCTTGGCAAATATCTGATAAAGTTTAAAGGAAAGATTATTTTATAGATGACCTAATGGAAGTTTTATTAAATTTTAATTTTGATGTGAGTTATAAGTATTTTGAGATATATAAACAATTCACAATTTTAAAATACGTATAACTTGCTTCTAAATTAAATTATAGTAAAAAGCCCGTGAGGTCGTCTATATAATACTATTACCTTTAAATTTTATAAGAGGTCAATTTACTCTAATTTATAAGCTAACTGAGTTAAACGAAATCTACTGAATGTAAACATTATTTATGTTACCCAATTGTAAGATGGATAAAATACATGCAGATATAAAGTAATCTTAAGGACATATGTTATTTGGATTCAATCTTTTTTAACCTGGTCCCCAGTTACTAAACATCCACCAAGTGATGACCATTTTGAAAATAATATAGTTCCTTTGTGAATAGAGTCTAAAGCAGTTACTAATCCACCATTCCATATATATACTTCTCCAGATTTTGAGCCTATAGCTAAGGTACGCTGAGTGGGATGCCAGCAAAACGAAGTTATATGGCCTTTACAAAGATTTGGTCCAGAGTTGTGCAAATCTTCGCCCTGAGAATAGTAGTATAGAAAACAGTAAAAGATAAAACTGTAAAATAAAATTTTAGATACTCACTAATTCATCACAAATATGAATTTGTGCTTCATCATTTTCAGTATACGATATTATTGCCAATAGACCAAGTTGGCGGTGATAACTTATGTCAGTAATGATATAATTTTGATTAGTTTTTACCTTATATTCAAGATACGAACTCATTTTAAACAATTTCAGAAACAATTAAATGTTTTAATGTCTTTTAGATTAGTATCAAAGTAACTATAGCAACCAAATATCAAAATTATATAAACAGAATGATTTAGATAATACAGATTCTTATATTAGAAAAATTCACAAAAACAACAATTAAATATGACCAAATTCAACATAAAGTATGAAAAAATAATTTTACTTATGTTCTAATACTTTAATATAGTCTTATATTATTCTAGATTAAATTTCTAACATGGTTATTACTGCTGATTACCGAGTAATTTTATAATAAAAATTTAGACATCAGCAAACACACACGACACTAGAAGATAGAAATCAAGACATTCGTATAATACTATAATAAAATAAACAATAATAATTATAATTCATGATATTGGTTATAACTTATATTACCCAAGTTAAGAATTATGATTCAAATTTATTTACATTGTTTACAATTCACAATGGACAATGGAGGGGATTAATAGGTAATACAGTGACACCACAGTTATAATAAAAACCCCAAGACTGATAATTATATAGATAAAATAATTTATTATTTTCAGTTTCAAATAATTATGAAATATGAATATAATAATAATGTTAATAATGTTATTAGTTTATTACATAATTAATATAAATTCATATATTTTTATACTATATTATTATTTATTGTAAACTTTTCATATGCTGTTTTATAAATTGATCAAGTTTCAATTTGAATAATTCACTCTCAATAGGTTGTCCCATTTCATATTCAGTGTTCTTAACAACATATTCCACGTAAATCTGAAATAAAAATCCAGATTAATTGAATGAACTGACAAAAAAAAAAAAAAAATTATTGAAAAGAAATGTTGAATTTTTTTAATTTGGTAAATAACACAATAGAACTATGCCAATATTATATAAATATTGCTCTATATAGTTATGTCACAATTATTTAAACTTATTACTACTTTTAACAGAATTGTATTAAAAATAGTTATTAAGAATTATCAATAGTAAATCTTACTTCTTTATATAATTGATGTAACAAATCTCTGACATTTTTTATTGTTATATCAGTATTTAATATAAATTTGACACCAGTTAATGACTCGTAATAATGTAATGCATATTTACTAGTCTTGTAACATAAAAAACCACGTTTAGGATCAAGTGGTGATATTTTAGAAACAAATGATTTGATAGAAAACAACATACCATACATCAATTTGGCTTCCTATGACATAGATAAAAATATATGTTTAGATCTACTCAGATATTGCTGAAATATTCAAAATTTACTTCTTCACTACTCATGCCGGATTGTTTCAAACGATTCCAGTTTGTCTGATATAATATTGTTCCCATCCGATCAAAAATATAGATGTTGTAGATAGTCATTGATTTTAGATGTTTAATTTAATTTTCGCATTCTAAAATATACTTCAAATTATGAGAGTTAAGAAAAATAACTATAAATTATAAATATCTTAGTTTTACTATTGAAAATTTGTATTTTGAAAGATTTAACATTTAACATACACTATATAGTAGTTTTGTGAGATACTGATTAGCGATTGGTTTTTACTGATTACTGAGTACCACGGACTATGATTATAAACAAGCGTCTATATAGTGACAGCATAGACCTATAAAACAGTGGTTCTCAACCGGTGTGCCGCGGCACAATACTGTACCGAGAGATCGACTAGGTGTGCCGCGACAAGTTTCTGATATTTGTAATTAAGCTGGTAAAAATATTGAAAACAGTAATTTATTTCATTACATTTGTGTTGAGTGTGCCGCGAAAACTTGTGATGTATAATTATGTGCCGTGAACCAAAAAAGCTTGAGATTGAGAACCTCTGCTATAAATGATAGGTCTATGAGTGACAGGGAATCCGAAAGGCTGCAAGATGGCCGACTCCGTTATCATTATCAATTATCACATGTTTTACTATCACTTTATTTTAAAAATAATATATACCGGTGGATCTTTGATCATTGACTACTTTATTTCAAAAATTACTAATTTTTTCGAAAATATTTTTTACATGGTTTCAAGTTGTTCAAAAACCAACGTTTTTATTAAAAAATTGTATTTTAAAATATTTTTTGTCCTTATATTATCTTAAGTTTTAACTTTTTTGAATGAGACCATAGAGTTTAATTTCATATTMCAAAGCAGAATATTTTTCTAAGTATTTTTATTCATAAAAATCGAATTTAGGACGAGTAGTTTATGAGTTATAAGTATTTAAAGTTTAGATTGACAGAGTGGAGTGGTACGGGGTTACCCCGCAAAATGTTTGTCCACTACACTGCTAAATTATAATACATAATACATTATATTATATTGTTTATAATTTCAAGTTTATTAATATTCTATAATTATCAAAAATTATGATATTTCCAGTTAATTATTAATAAGCTATACCCTTCATATAATACATAGAAGAGAGAGTGACATCTATGTATAGGCCTCCGTAACATAATAAACGAAAACCATAATTAAAAAAAAAAAAATGAACAAAATACAATTTAAAACAATATTCCAGGTTAGTACATAAAGGAAAGGGATGAATAAAACATTTAAAAGGCTAAAGACCTTTGATCTCGAAGCCTTAATAAATTTATAAAAAAAAAAAATTTTAAATTTTAAACTCGAGTAGTGGTGTAAACTTTCACAGTATTATGCATTTAATTAAACAGACAAGTTTTTTTAACAATTAGTCAGTTTTGATAATCATTCGTTCAAAAACACAAATATTTTCAGAAGTATTTGATGTAGTGAGTTCATTTAACCTGTTCAGTGTTTAAAATAAGATAGAGCAATTAGATACTTTACTGTCACTAGAGAATAATAAACTTGGAATTAGTATATTAGACTAAGAACACACTCGTGTAGAATACAACTCGCCCAACTCTGGTAGAAATAAGGTAAGGGAAAGAAATATATTATTTTGAGAATGAAGTGATAGTAAGATCTGTGATAACTGATAATGATAACGAAGTCGGCCATCTTGCAACCATTCGGATTCCCTGTCACTATATAATATAGACGCTTGTTGATTATATTGGACTGGTCTCGAAATGATGAGGAGTGTATAGACTGTATAGTACTATAGTGGCTAGCGGGACGCTCGGATGGGTCGCAAATGTCTGTACCACGATCACGGCTTAAGATCTTAAGCCGTGACCACGATGTAGAGAACAGAAGGTGATAACACTCGGCTTGATCGGGAGAAAAAAAGTGGCTTATTTTTCGACGGCAATTTTGTAGTTTAGATAAAATGCACCGTGAGCACCACAAGCTTCGAAGGCCGGTTGTTATTCAATAACATAGACCTTATACTCGAGTATAAGGTCTATGTTCATTAATAGCATTATAACCATTAACCACTATGCAATTATGCATTATTTTCATTTTAAATCGTAATCTATGATCGTAATGTATAAATAAATAAATATTTTATTTAAGATGAAAAATACCTGTGTGTGCCTATGCATTCAACTACCTATATAGAAGTTGACAGTTGGAAATTATAGCAATATTGCATTTAACAGTGTACAACTCATTACAAAGGTAATAATAATTTCTATATTTTGCAAGAAACTCAAAACTCTCTTCTCTACATCGTGGTCTGTACTCTTCCTTGATAGTTGATACTAGCACAGAATAGAATAATGATAATAAATGATATGAATAATGATACTAGCCACTAGGGGTTTTTAAGCACGATACTATCATTTATTCCTTGATAACACCCCATAGAGTAATTTATATTACTCTATGTAACACCCACGGTAGATTATAGAGGTATACGCATGACTATCAAAATCGTGTCCCGAGAAATATGTTTTAAGAAGGTTCTCACCGCTAGATCGCGTAACAGTCATTTGGCCCTAACTAAAATGTTTATTTATAGGTTTTATTTTATTAATTATTAATTTAATTATGTATTATTAATTATTATTTATTAATTTATTTTATTTTATTTTATTTTATTTATTTATATTAATATTATAGGTAGGTACGTATTATATTTTGTCTACAATGAAATATAAATTATATTTTATATTGTAATACATTTTTCACCATATCAAAATCAAAGTATAATAATAAATTGTTTATTTATTTGAATGTTTTCAATTGTTTTTGTGTAAAATGGTTAAGTGTTTTATAGTATATTGCAAATCTGGTTATGCAACTTGCRAGGATAAGGAAAATAAACCATTAAAATATAATCATAATATACATTTTGAAATGATAATTATTGGATACATCCAATGGTTAAATTTAAAAAAAA